CCAGTGATTTCAGTTTCGTACTTAACGTATATTGCACAATGTGCATCTTCCGAGCTCCATTAATGAAAATCACTGGTATCAAAAACTTCTCAAATTCTTCCTGATGAGAAAAAATCATAAAACCAAACGTTTTTAGGGGGATAAAAGTTGGTAGCACCCAGTCATGGCACGTACACACTGCTGATGATTGATGACCATCTAGAGAACAATCATTTTTCAGCTTTGGAGTGACTACATGTTGGCACCTAAAATCTTTGACCCCATGTGGTTTCTATGTTGCCCTGGACTCATTAACTTGTTTTAATAATTGTAAGCAGTGATGACAAAGGAAACTCAGTCCTAGAGTACACATTTCTTTCGAAATGTTAAAAAGAATATAAGATATAAACCAAATTACTTTTGTTTCATTCTCAAATGTTACTTTTTGAGTTATGAAAAAATAAGAAAAAAAACCTGTAGTAATTGTAAATTATTCATATCTGCGTCAAATTTTTCTCCGAGTTCAGCTCTCAGGCGTTCAAGTGCATCAATTTCCTGCTCTTCCTCTTCCTCACTCAGCGTTTCCTCATCTTTTGGAAACTCTTCTTCAAGGATGTTTTCAATATCATCGTCTTCATCATTTTCATCCTCACTGAATTCATCATAGTCTCTAATGAACTGAGGAAGAAAAAGAGTCCCCTTAATTATACATGTAAAATATGGGATAAAAGATACCGCTATATCATCATTTGAAATATTGAAGGAGACTTGGCTATTGTATGGCAGCACCCCTACATTAACAGAAAAAAATTTAATATGCAGCACTCAGAAATTGAATACCTTCAACACTCTGACATAACAGGGAATTCATAAGTAAATAGACAAGCTAATACATGCTTGTATACAACACTCATTACCCATGCAGCTTGGGATGTGATCAGTTTCCTCACTTGTAAAAGAGGCATAATATAAGGTACATACCTCACAGGGTTGTCAGGGACATTATTTAATGCATTCAAAGTCCGCAGAAAAGTGTCTGGCACGTGGTAAGCATGCAAGAATAGCTATATTGCTATTACTATGCTATGATAGCTATTACTGTCACTTTATATAAAACGCTGTACATAACCTTTAGGATGTTATAGCCCCTCTGAGGAAATATGAACAATACAGAAATGTTTATTTAAGACCATGACAGGATATTGGTGATATATGATGTCGTATAGGCTTTAAGCGGTGTGCAGTTTAATTTGCACAAAACTGAGCACTATTCATCTTTCTGTACTCTTTTCTCCCTGAAGGAGTCCTTGTCTCAATTGGAGTTCTCTTTTCTGGTTAGAATCCTAGAAATTATCTTGGCTCCTTGCTCTCTGTTATTGCACATCCAGTTTTCAAGAGTTAAAATATGAAATTATACTCAAAACTCTTTTCTTTCCATCCCCACTCCTCTGTTTTGTTTTGTTTTTTAAGATTTATTTATTTATTTATGCAAGCACTGGGAATAGTCAGAAGCACGGGAGGGTGAGAGAATTCACCAGAGCCAGAGCGGGGAGCAGAACAGGAATATTGACAGAGCACACTGCTGAGGGGAGCAGCAGGCAGCAGGAGAGGTCTGCGCACCATGTGGGACCCTTGCTGGCGGCTGGGGATCGAACCAGCACTGCAGAGGCCACCAGCATCTTCATAGCCCAGCGCTCAACTGCTGTGCCACTGGGAAGGCCCTTCTCTGTTGATTTCCATACCCACTATCATTATTTCTTGCCTGTAATTTTCTGATTAGCTTGTTATTTTTTAACCTTTCTGTTTGACCTCAGTTCCTTTATAAGATGCCTAGGGCTGGGATTTGGACTAGAAGCTGCAGGGAAGAAGATGAGAGGATGAGGACTTTGTGTGTCCAGGCTCCTTTCTGATCAGAGCTTGGTTGTGGGGCAGTATGGGCGTATCATAATCAAACTCTTGAAAAGCAAAGATACAGATAAAATTTAAAAGCTGTTTGAGAAAAATAATACAGGAGGACAATTTAGATGAACATATTCTCCTCAACTTTCTGGTTTCCATTATACCAGAGGAATAAAGAACATGAGAATGGTAAATATCTGGATAAGTGTAAAAAAGAATGTATTTTTTAAAAAGAAATCTTTATTGAAAATACATATGAAATTTTGTTTAAAACAGACTGACTTTTTCCCTGGAGTTTTCATTTGGTTGCAAAAACATGATAACTAGTACATAAAGGATGTTGGTTGAATAGGAGTGAATGTAAATGGACTTTACATAGCTATAAGGCTTCTACAACATTATATGGAATAATATTGGCTATAAGTAGAGCTGAAAAGTCAAGGATGTATATGTAATTTGAGTGCAACCACCAAAAAAACAACGCCTAGAGTTACAACTGAAAGTCAATCAATAACAGAAACACATTGACTATATCTAAACTATTCAAATAATCCCAAAGAATGCTGGAAAGGAGAAACAGAAAACAGAGGGGACAAAGAAAAAGTAAATAAAATTCATGTTTAGAGAAACAGGCCTCAGTTTGGAGTAAACTGTGTCACAATTTTCTATCCGGAGGGGTAAGTAGAATGAGTCTACATCTGGGTAGAAGCCTACGCAAGGAGAGATAGAGATTATAGTCAAAATGTTTACAACTAGGGAGAAAATGAGAGCTGGAAACGAAGAAATGGAAGAAATAAAAGATCTGTCAGAGATCAGAGGTCCTTCTCAATATAGACACACTTATGCAGATACTAGATTCTCTTAGTACACTGGGGAGCAAGCAAGGATGCCTGCTGATTCTGGATTTTGAGGCCAGATTCTGAACTATTTGGTTTTCAGTGCCAACTCCAACCTGTGCACTCCTTGCACACTTTTGCAGCCCTCTGCACTACAGTCCGTGAGACTATGCACTCTGACTTGTCTCTGGAGGCTCATTAAGATGGCCCTGGCTGGTGCTAGACATTGTTTCTACCTCAACAGGACTCTGACTCTGGCTTCCCTCAGGACTTAGGCTGTGTTTCTCCATTAACTGCCCTGACTGGGGAAGGAGTCAGTGGCTAGGAAGAGCGAGAAGTCACAGCAGAGGTCAGGCCACTGAGAATTAGAACACATACAATGTAAATCCCTACACAAAAGGGCTGGTGCATAGGACAGTCTTAGTCACAAAATTCCACAAGATGGCGACATTTTCCTGGGAAATTAGTGATACCTGCTATTTAAAATGAGACTTGGAAGTGATTTCTAATGTTAAAAATGTTTCATTTGCTGCCAAGATGTCAGACAGTAAAAAGGCAATGTTGTTTTATTAAAAGTGAGAGGACAAACCCAGGAACGGCTTTCTCTCCCAATGGTTTCCTAGCTAGGTGTAAAAAGGTGAGCTATTTATTCTGTACAAAGAGGCAAATGAAGTTCCTGTGTCTGTTCATGAAAGCAAGTTCCAAAGTGACATGAAGTCAGGGTAGATTCGACTCAGGGTGTGTCAGTAACTGATCTGAGCTGTCACATCATGTCTAAGCCTACGTTTTATTTAGTCTTTCTTTGTCTGAGGAAGTAGCAGGATGTATCTTAAAAAACACCCATTAAAGGGACAAAAATCCAAAAAATAAACTTTATTTCATCAAAAACCTCAGGAATTAGCTTCCAAAAGTCACTTGTATAAATTAACTGTGTGAGATATGCAGTAATTTTTAAGCTTCAGGAAAGTCAACTTACAAGACACTGTTTAATTTATAAAATAGAATATCAAATCTTTGAATGAAAACATTAATAAGAAATCCCCCCTTCTAATGTTAACAAACAGAACAACTGTAAATTAAGAACGTTTAAAATTTATCCTCAAAACTAATACTCTTACTAATACTCTTAAGAAAAAGATTTAATTAAAGAATGGTAAAGAAGGAAAATTTAAATGTTATTAATTAGGAAAACTGGGTATTAGTAATTTTTCCTATTTTACAATGAAATAAAGCAGTCTCAAAGAGGTTAAGCAACTTGCTTGATGTGATAAAACAAAGCAACTATAAGTTGAGTGCCTACTGTGTGTCAGCATGATGTTAGGCACTGGGGAGTCAGTAGAGAACAAAGTCAGTAAGAACTAGAGTGAGGACACCATACAGGCCAGACAGCTCCAACGTGTGAACTCCTTTAGAAACACTCTGTAGAGATATCTGAGGTGCTACTCCAGGAGGCCACCAGGGATTTCCAAGGCCTAAAGGTAGTTAACTAGACTTGATTCAGGTTAGAGTATCTCTCTTTTTGCTCTTTAACATTAGCATGGCTCCTTGAAATGAGTAGATTTACAGAACATATTTGTTCACGGAATGAAAAATAGAGTAAGACCAGAGACCTCTGTCAATTTTGTTCACCGTCAATCCCAGGACTTAGAGGGTATTGTGCATAGTGAAAAGCCAGATGGAGAAAGACAAACACTGTACGATTTCACTCATACATGGTACATAGGGAAAACAAACACAGAGATGAAATAAGTAAAACAAGAATAAATTTTTGGATTATAAGACCATTTACTGGTTATCAGGGAAGGGGGAAAGGAATGGATAATCAGGACAAAGAGGGCAATTGTTTGGTAATGGATAGAACTGGACTTAAGGTAGTATATACACATGTTGATTTTCAGTGATAATACACCTGATATGTTGATGCACTGTAACTCCAATAAAAAAATAAAATGCTGTAAGTGCTGAATTAAGGCTTGATGATAAACTGACTAACTGAGTAAAGATCAAGGCAAATACTGAAGAGAAGACTTCTTATTCTGTAGATGATGCCACAATATTCTCAGTTTAGTAAGTTTAGATGCCTTTTAGGTTGTATGTATTTTGGACTAAGAAATAATTGCTTCAGCTCCTTTTATGTATGTATGTATGTATGTATGTATGTATGTATGTATGTATGTATCTATCACCTACAGAGAGAAAGAGAGGGAGGGAAGAGGACAGAATGGGTATACTGCTTTAAATTTTTTTTTTATTTACTTACATCTTTCCTTTTGCTCTCTCTTTCTGCTATGAGTTCAGCCCTCCTTTTAGAAATCATATCATTCTGTTAAAGAAAGAGATGTTTAAAATGTTCAATGATGATGATAAAATTACTTCTATGTATTAACATTTTTTTCCTCAAGGTGAAAGAATAGTGAATTTTCCAGGAAAGTATGTGATGGTGGTAAGTTTGTTGCTGTATACTCCTAACTCTGGTCTCTTGTTCAGCTATTATATAGATATACTTTCATTTTCTGCTCAAACATACTGCCAGACAGAGAATATTATCCCATTTCATAGGCGGTTAACCAAAGCAGAGTGTTTAACTAATGTCATGTCACCCTCTCAACTACTGGTCTCCCAAAGGGGAGGGTCACTGTCAACGCAGACCGAGCGGGAAGCTAAAACCTGACACTGCAGCTATTTTGATGTGGGCAATAAGAGTATTTTCTCATTTTCCCAATGTATAGGAGTCACTCAGCTAGTTTCTGATTTCCTTGAGAGCAAAGTGCTTCATGTGTAGCTGTGACCTTGGTGTGTCCACAGAGGAAGGGAGTCAGGAGGCTCCCATGCTGCTGACTTGGGTCAGGACCAGCACCCCCCCACCCCAACCCCACCCCCCGTGTGGATGTCTACCATATTTTGCTTATTCATTCATCAGTTGATGAACAATGGGTTGTTTCCACTGTTTGGTTATTATAAATATTCCCATATAAATTTTTATATGGGACATGTTTTCATTACTGTTAGATAAATTCTTAGCAGTAAATTATTTGGTTCCTTGATACTTTTGAACATATGATGGATTGCAGATTATAGTTTTAGAAAAGATGTTCATAGCTAGTATCTGGAACTGTTTCACTGTAATTAACATCACCTCGATGGATTGTGTCATCATTTCCAGAGGCAGCACAAAAAATCACTGATTTTATTTCTTTGTGTTTTCAAGGTCTGCTCCACTTGTTGCTTCTTCCAGTCTGTTTTTGTGTCTGATAAAGGGATACTTTGGTGCTACCACTATCTTTGATTTTGTCTGCCTTTGAGAGAGAAGCATTGATATGCTGATAATCACAAAGGTCTCAAATAATTCCTAGCTTTTTAATTATAAATAGTCTTAATATTTGAGAGAGGTGTTTTCATACTGTCATATTAACATAATTGTACTTTTGTAAAGACCACTGTATAAATTGAATAGATGCTGAACATATTTACTGTAAAGATTTTTATGTAAATACCTTGATTTTTGCTTTCATTTCTTTGATCATATTTTTTCTTTCTAATTTCTTGTTTTGTTTCAGTTTCCACTTTTTAATTTGGGAAGGAAGGAGGCGATCAGAAATATCTTGATCATCAACTTGTATGAAAACAGCAGCATCTGGGAAAACCCACGTTCCACCAGAAACTGGATCTCATCAAGATATCGTGGGAAACCATCTAATATAAAACCTGTGGAACTAGGTGGAAATTTCTTAATTCACTTTACTTGCTTAAACTATTATAAAAACAGAAACATTGACAAATCTCTATACAAAATACTCAATGAATAGTTTAAAATGTTTACTACAGTGTCTTTATTTCTTTTAGTATTTCTACTTTCAAAATACTGTGATTTATAGGGAAATAAAGGGAATTTTGTCATTTAGATGACCAAAATGTATTTCTCATACATACTTGGTCTTCATCTATAGTCCTGCCTCCCAGCTCCCAAAAGCCTTGGAATTTTCTAATTGTTGAGAGTGTGAAAGGTGTCTCTTGCCATGTTAATGAGGTGATACATATATGATACCATAACAGACATACATATAGGAAAAGAGCTAGCTGGCATTTTAGCATCTTGTTTTCTTTCTTATTATATGGGCAAATATACATATATTAGCTTCAAGATATGTATCCTTCTCTTTAGCGCTGCCTTTAGTGCAGTCTCCTCTGTTTCAGATGTCTCTTATTTGTCAGTAACTCCAAAATTTTTACTCTACATCTAACTTCTTTTCTGATTTTGAATTCAGAATTTTCAAAAATCTGTTTAGTTTCTCCACTTGAGTGCCCCTCTAGAACTACACATGCATCACATTGTCAAAAATCATACTAATTGTTACCCTTTCATATTGCTCTTTCTTTGGATTAGGGTTCAGGTCACCAACTTCAGAATTATTTTGGCATTCTCCCTCAACTTCCTTTTGCTTCTCACATAACAGCAAAGTCCTACTATTGCATCTTAGTTTAGGACTTTGTTATATTTCTTCAGTTCTAATACAACAATTATAAGAACAACAAATCTCACTACAGAAAAAAACCGGAAAATAGAGAGAAGCATGAAAAAAGGCAAAATTATCCCTGATCTCACATTTCAGAGGCTATCAACATTTTGCTTAATTTCTTTTTTTAAAGATTTATTTATTTATTTATTTATTTATTTATTTATTTATTTATTTATATAAGTACTGGGGACAGTCAGAAGCGCAGGAGGGTGAGAGAATTCACCAGAGCCAGAACGGGCAGAAGGACCGAAGCACATTGCTGAGGGGAGCAGCGGGCGGCAAGAGAGGTCTGTGTACCATGCAGAACCGTCCTCCAGTGGCCGGGGAGCAGCTGGGGATCAAACTGTGCTGCAGAGGCTGCAGGCAGCTTCGCAACCCAGCGCTCAACTGCTGCGCCACCAGGGAGGCCCCATTTTGCTTAATTTCCTTCCAAGTGTTCTTCACATGTCCATCTCTCTACCATATTATAAATAAATTTGTATCTTCTTTTATAACTTAAAATGAAATGACATTTCTGATGCTAGTACAAATTCTTTATTATAATAAATTTTAATGCTTGCATAATATTCAGCTATTATATTTAGGCCTTTCCAATTTCTTTTTTAACTTCTAACACTGTTGAATTCTCTAATCCCTAGTCTTTTAAAAAATATATAGTGTGAAATGGGAGTTAGAGTAATGAAGAAAGACCCATGACTATGCAGCTTAGGTAACCTGCCTAAATTTCCTACAACTAGATCTAATAGATCTAATTTTTGGGACACAAAATTGAAATCAAGGTCAATGACTAATATCCGACTCACTCATCTAGACCAGGGGCTAAGTGAAAGCCAATGTCCAGAGCAGCACTGAGACTGGCCGACTATCTGAATTCTCTATTACATAGTTTCCTTATCTCCAAAGTGAGAGAATAACATTTTCTATCCCTTACTATAATTGTAAGACTGGAGTAAATTTATATGAATAAATTTAAGTAGAACAGTAACTGACAGTAAGTTCCATTTTAGTTTTTGCTGTTATTGGTACTATAATATTATTTCATTTGCTTCTGGTGGTTAGGAAATCAAGCTGAAGTTTTAAACTGGTAATCTAGAGAGTCTTAAATTTGTCTTGGCTTGGTCAGCTTGTTCCAGTTCTTGGTAGAGGGATAACATTATGCACAGCTATTAAGGGGGTCTCACCTAAAATTGTTAAAAGACTTTCAGGAGAAAAGTCTAGGACCACATTGTGGTACGTGGGTTTAGAATCTGTGTTCTCAACCATGACTACAGATCAGAATCAGCTTGGAAGCTCTCAAAGATACTAGTGCTTAGTTCCCAACCTCACGTTCCTGCAAGTTTTGATTCAATTATTTTGGGTGGAGGCCCATCTTTTTCAGTAATTCCCCAGATGTTTCTAATTTGCAGCCCAAGTAAAAATCACTAGTTTACATGCAAGTTAAAGGAGAAATTTTTAAATATATGTTTAACTATATTTTAACTTTTGTGAATAAAGCAAATGAATGTATACAAATTGAGATACCGTATTGGTTCCTTAAGCCACCACTCAGAAAGAATGGTTTCAAGAATTTCAGGAGGCAATGACTCATTTTCCATTAGGCTTGCTTTGATTGCTTCTTCTTCTTCAGTAAGTTGTACTTCCGGAGTCTAAAAACAAAAATCAAAAAAATGAAGTAAGAAACTTAAGACTCCATTATTAATAACACTAGATTACATAGTTGATTAAGATGAGACCTGTTTGTTTTTATACTGTCACTTTTCATACTGTTATTTCTAAATGTTTTAAACTTGAGTTCCTTATTTTTTAATTTTTTTAAAAAAGATTGATTTATATATGCATATAAGAGCTGGGGTGCAGGCCAGAGGTACGGGGTAAGGTGGGGGTTTGAGATGATTCACCAGAGACAGTGGGGAGCAGAACAGGTAGATCTACTAAAGTCTAAAGTACACTGCTAAAGGGAGCAGCGGGTGAGACAGAAGTCTGCTGCACCATGTTGGTCACCTCCCTGGCTGGAGATTGAACTCATGCTGCAGTGGCTATAGATAGCTTCATAGTGCTGCGACTTGACCCCTGTGCCACCAAGGAAGCCCCTTAACTTGAGTTCTTTAAAGCAGTCTTTCAGACAGCTTTAATAAGACAGTATATCCACTATAGTTTACAGGAATTACTAGCAATTAGTATGACTGATATTCATACATGGCCTCAGGATACCTGCCCTATCACTTTTTGCCAAAACCTTGTTTGATCTATGTAACACACCTATAAGGCTTACCTGAATTGTCATCTACCTTATAGTTATATAACCCAGGCAGTCATCTGAAATACAAGCTGTACCTGTTTCCATTTAGAGGGCAACCATTGAGAAGAAAATGTCTAGCTTTGGTTAAAAAGTGAGTTTGAATTAAGAATTTTCTTTTTACAACCCCAGATAGAACCTTCCTAAGAGATCCATACAAACTTGTGAGGTTTCATTAGAAATTAATATTTTGAGATTTCCATTGTGCTGGAGCAGATTTTTATGATTTTGGCAGAAAACTGAAAACCTAGTATGGGAAACTTTAAAATCTAGGACAGACATTTCAAATAACATAGTCCCAAACAAATACTGTACCACAGTCATGTCAGGGAGTTATATAAAACTCAGTATTTTATCTTCTAGAGGAACAGTTAAGACTACCATACGAGGAGTATGATTTTTAGAAATGTGTAGTTTTATACAACTTATATTCTATTTTCCAAAAGTATTAACAGTAAGCACAACTATCTGTGAAGAGAATATTAATATTACTACCGGCTTCTTTGGTGTGTCATCCTTGATTGTAATATTAGCTTGACGTGCAAGCTCTTCAATTTCTTCTTTTGCGGATTGTTCTTCCTCAGACTCTTCCTCATATTCAAGTCCAACTTTCTTTTCAAGTTTGACCATTAGTTTTTCTTGAAGAAATTCTTCAAACTGAATGTGAAAAATCCCCAATTTTTCTGCCAATTGTCTTCCACAGACAGTTTTGCCAGAACCATGGGGGCCTAGAAGGCATATTCTTAATGGGGGAGCCTGCCACAGTGGGATGGGTCAGGAGAGATGGGAGAGAGGGAGGGTGAAAAAAAGGAAATTTTGAATAATTTAGAAAATACATGTCATATTAACTGTCCTCCCTAAGACGGAGTAGGAATTATCACTTCACAAACTCAGTGAAGTGGACTTTCAGAGGTGCGAGTGGGTTGATGTCATCTGTAGAAGTGAGATGACTCAGGATTTGGGGTGTAGACTTGTTCACTCTCAGAGGCAGGATCACAGGGGTGCCTCCAAGCCTGACTGGCTGACTCTCAGGAGCTAGGACTGACACTGGTTACACTGTAAGGGAGTGTTCCCTGAGGTGAACATCTTTGATCAATTAAACTGTTTCAAAACTGGTTCAGATGGCTATTGTTCCCAAGACTGCTATTTCGAGATTAGCATATCTATTGATGTAATTCAATGCAAGAACAATGGTGCTCAGGGAGCATCTATAGGACATCTTAAACTTCATTCTGCAGTTATGAATCAAAAGGTATTTAATAAAATAAAATGTTTTTTTAAAGATTTATTTATTTATTTATTTTATAATAAATTTTATTTTTATATTCCCCATACAATTGCAACCCCTTATTTTGACCCCAATCCCTCCCCTCCCCACGCCCCACCCCCCCTGAGTGTCTCTGGTTCATAGTTGTGTGTTGATTTTGATTTTCACTTTCTTATAGTTATAAAATGTTTTGTTTTTTAAAAATGATGGGGAACAAAGGAGGAGTGGGCCTAACAGTCAATGGTAGAGTATCGGCATTTTGGTGGTGGGTAACATAATCTGAAGAGCTGTGAACCTCTTCCCCTAAATCATATATCATGTTGGAAACCAAGGTTATCTCAAGAAAAAGAAAATGTCATCAAAAAATAAGTAAAAAAAATTTCTAATTAAAAAATGGAAAGGCACTCTCTTAGCACGATTAAAAAACCCACCAAACTCTTTACCAAACAAAAAGCCCATTACTAATGACATGCTGGAAGTCCTTTCATCAAGTTCTGTAATTTCCATATTAGAGATGAGGAACTATCTAGTTTCAAGAACAACCTTTTGGAACACAACATAAAGTAATTATTCATTTTGATTTCTACAGTAATGCCTTGTGTCTAACTAACATGTAATATCATCTTAGCTGAAGTAAAACACAGTTTACTAAATTAAAGGCCAGCCCTACTGTTATTTTCTCTGAGCAGAGCAGTTTGCTGATCATAAGATAGGATTTGGGGAAGTTGGGATTCAGGGGTTGATGGACTTTCAGAGGTGCGAGTGGGTTGATGTCATCTGTAGAAGTGAGATGACTCAGGATTTGGGGTGTAGACCTTGTTCACTCTCAGAGGCAGGATCACAGGGGCTCCTCCAAGCCTGACTGGCTGACTCTCAGGAGCTAGGACTGACATTGGTTACACTGTAAGGGAGTGTTCCCTGAGGTGAACATCTTTGATCAATTAAACTGTTTCAAAACTGGTTCAGATGGCTATTGTTCCCAAGATTGTAGAACAAACCATCCTAAAGTTTTTTTTTAATTCTTGTTTGTCATCATTGGAACAACTTTCTTTCTTCTTTAAAAATATTTGTTAAAGCCAAACACAAGGAAACAAAAACTGGATGATTCCACTTATACAAGATAAATAAAATAAACAATTTCATCATAACAGTAAATAGAGTATTTGGCCAGGAGTTGGGGAGAATGGAAGTCATTGTTAAAATTATACAGAGTTCCAATTTGGGGTGATTAGAAGTCTCTAGAGTGAGATAGTGGTGATGATTATAAAACATTATGAATATAATTAATGCCATCTAATTGTACACTTAAAAATGGTTATGTATACATTACTACAAAGGTTGGTCTTAAGTCCCTAAGAAAGTACGCAGGAACAATCAATAGGATAGGAATATTGTTTTTACCTTTAGTGGCTCTTTATGAGCCACATACTCCTCAGGGTGCTCCAAAAACTTTTCTTTAGCCTCAGGAGTTGAAAAGTAATAGATTTTTTCTCTATATTTAACTGCTTCATCTGTGTTGCCTGGTTGTAGGATGAAGTTTTCTTTGAGAACCACTGGACAAAAATGCTTTGAATCTCCCAAATGCCTTCTCTTCTCTTTAATTCTGTCATCATTCTGGAAATATTATTCAAAATTTGGAAAACATTAACAAAGAGTATTTTGAAATAATACTAAAGATGAAATTTTAAAAAAATGCACCTTGAATATTTAACTCATAACAATATATCTTTAAAACAATCTACAAAAGACCAATTTTATACTATTTGAATCAATTAAAAATTTACTAATTCATATGCCTCTATGTATCCTAAACGTCTTTATTTTCATAAGGAAAATAAAGCAGCATTGCGAATAAAGGTATCTCTCCAGTCCTCTACAGACATGGATATAGTGAAGAATCTTAGGATTTTTTGGTGCAGGGTCACTGTGAGGTCAGGTTAAAATTATTCCCAAGAAGCAAAAGTTAAGTCAGGGTCACAACTTCTTACCCATTGGAAATGAAATGGAAGATGTCACGGTATTTGTTTCCTACTAAGGAACTGTGCTCAAATAATAATTGGGGAATGTTTTATTTAATTCAAATAGCAAAAAGTTGTTCTTGTTTGAGAATACAGTTCATTATATCATATAAGCAGACTCTCAAACACTCCATTGTTGTCTTTTATGTAAAACTTCTATTAATTTATGAAGTACATTTGCGTCTAATACCTACAGATGTTTCCATGGGGAAAGAAGTTGAAAAGACTTTATTTTGCCCTCATCAGTGTAATATACTAAGTTGCCCTAGCATTTCAAGGGTCAAGTGAAACTGAAGTGGGGGTAAAGTATGTGTGAAAATGCTTATAAAGTTGAGGACATTTGCTTATTCACTTGGGGTCACAAACAGTTGTGAGGGGATCAATGGGAATGAGCAGTAATAAAAGAACCATACCTCTTCCTCTTCCTCTTCCTCTTCTTCTAAGTCCTCCTCAACTTCTGTTTCGGCCTGATAGTCTTCAGCTTCTTCATCATAATCGTCAATAGTTAACTCCCAGCCAGCATATTGAAAAGGTTCTGTTAAAAAAAAAGAGAACATATGGGAAAATATTTTTAGGCTTAATATTTATCACAGCAGGCAAAGAGTAGGATAATTAATTATAATGACTGATCTTTTAGCTTAAATGTATTTGCAAATAGGTCTTTACAAATTCTCTATATGACTGTGGCTAGTGTGGCCAGTGCTATGGTCCCCCATGACTGTTTGGCTGGTGCCTACTCTATGACAGTTTAAACTTTTAAAAAATCATTGCTGATATAGTGAATGTTATATTTCATAACCATCAAGAAAGGCATTAATGTTTCACAGTACTTTTTTAATATTACCTGATTTTTTATAACAAATGTTTTATGATTCTAGCCCTTACTTTCCATAGTTTCGATTACTTTCTGAAATAGTTCCTCTGGAGACTTATGTGCAATCTCCAAGTTTAAAATTTGAATAAAAGATTCAGTGACTGCTGCTTCCATAAGACTCCAAGAAGAGACAAAAGACTGGAGATGGTCTTTAAATGGCTCCATTTCAGGAACATCAGGATAAGCATCTTCTGGAAATTCAGGCAGTTCAACTTTTATTAAAGGAAAGAAGAAAGAGCCTTCAAATAGATTGCCAAAATAATTTAAGCTTTATGCTTTTCAAACCCTTGCAAGAAATGAATTTATTGTTCTCAGTTTATGTAGGCATTCATAAATTCATATTTTAACTATACTTTGATCCTTGTATTGGCAATAGATTAATTATTATCTATTAGTAAATTATTATGTATTAATAAAATCCAAATTATTTGGGTAATTGATATGAATTGCATATGACAAATTTAACTATTAATAAAATGTATAAGGTATTTGGTTAAAAACAGAATTATAAGACACTTAGATACACTTAGATGTATTTGGTGAAAAACAGAATTATAAGACACTTAGATACACTTTTAATATTATAAGCTAAATAAACAGAATGAGCATCAACTGAAGAAAGAAACAAGTAGAAGGTTGTATTATGCCTTAAATAACAGACAAAGACCATTTTTAAGAAAATATGAGGAATACTTTTATGCACTAACCACTTTTATGTTATGATCTAACCTGCTTGAAGTAATTCTTCTTCAGTTTCCAGGACCTCACTGGTTTCTTTTTCAACTTCTATTTCAACTGCAGGATACTCAGAAGATTCAGGTCCTTAGAAAAGAAATCTAATAGTCAATGTTTGAATTTTAAAACATTATTCCATTATAATTTCAAATACCAGTTTAACTTGTATATACTATATCTAATGTAACATATAGTTCTTGTTACCTGAAGTATGACATAAAAAGGAATTAGGGCAGAAAATGAATATTCTTAAATATACAAAAGGTCATTGATCAGAAGACTTGATACATGGTCATACAATTTTGGCTAAGTGCAATTAAATATTATTCAATAGTATTTGTACATGGCATCAGGACAGCAGCGGATTTGTATTTGGCAGATATTGTCCATCTGCAACAGGGCACTCTTGGTAAAGCAAAAAACAAACAGAAGTGCCCAAAGTAATGAATTTATGTTTGACAGGGCCATTTCTTTCTTTCTTTTTTTTTTTTTATTGTGGTAAAATACACATAAACTTATCATCTTAACCATTTTCAAGTTTACAGTATGGTGGTGTTAAATACTTTCACACAGCTGTATAAATATCCCCAACCTTCATCCTCATAACTCTTTTCATCTTGGAAACTTGAAACTATACTCATGACACAATAACTTCCAACCTCCCCTTCTGTCCAGCTGCCTGGCAGTCACCATAATACATTCTGTCTTTATGATTTTGACTACTCTAGGTGGAATTACATAGTATTTGTCTTTTGAGGACTAAATGGGGCATTTTTAAGTGAAAAAAATTACCTACCTATGTAATTTAGAAGAGACTGTGTGGAAAGAGACGCTAAGGAGGAAGAAGAAATCACTAGCTAAACCAAATGTAAGGCCCTCTGAAATAGAATATGGTTTAATATGGCAATACAGATCCATCATTTCACAGAAGTGAACTAGTCTAGAAGTCCAGTTATGTTTACAGCATCAGGCTAGAACTTAGCCTAATGGAGTAGGATGTTGGCATTAGAACATGCAAAGCAGATTCCCTGGGGGTGGGGAGGGAATGAGATAAAAGATAATAAAATTAAATCATTCTCTAGTCCAGATCCTCCCTAATTGTGAAACACTGTAGATATTAAGACTCTGGGTGTATGTTTGGTATTAATGAATGACAGTTTATTTTATTTCTTTGGGTATTTTATGACCTGCGGTCTTGCAATATGTAGGTGGGTCGGAGAATTAACAGTTTAATTGACTAGGCACTGAAGAAAATAACAAAGTTTCTGGGTGAGAGCTCAAGTCAATAAAAGTGTGGAACTCTTAAAAGGAAATTGGGTATTTTATTCTGCTGGAGCCTCTGTGTGGTACAAGGGATATGATTTTATACTTTTTGTCTGATAATACCAATCTCTATAGCAAAAATAATCTATTTTGTTTTTTTTTAATTTAAATTTTATTTTTATATTCCCCATACAATTACAACCCCCTTATTTTGACCCCAATCCCTCCTTTCCCCACCCCCCACTCCCCATAGTTGTTTGTTGAAAAAATAATCTATTTTGAACTTGAGATTTCTCATTGTAAAAATTCCCATTAATTCTGGTTCTTTTATCAACTATCAGGAGCTTTATAACCCTGAGTTGTTCCAGGCTGGGATCTAGCAGCAGGTGTCTGAAGACTTAATTTGTAAGATCAGTTTCTAATCCAATTCTAAGTGTGCTTGGAAGCATTTAAGAGCCTCACTATCACCATGGTGGGGTCCCCTATCTTGCTGCTTCAGTCTTTAGAGTGACTTTTATCGCTCAGAGACTCCTTCTTGCCTGCTCAACCCACCAAACTGGAAATCTTACGTAGGCTGGCTTTGTGGGCCTGTGATCTGTGTAGCTGCATGGGATCTCATGCTCATATTGGTATCAAGAGTTTAATGCTCGTTTGTTGTCATTTTGAAATTTTTAATAATTTTATCTTTGAACTGTTTACTACAGCAAGACCTAAGCAGACATCAATGGAATACATATGTGAGCAGAGTTATGCATGATATGTGTTTGCCAGTCCTTGTCATTTCATCTTTATGAATGTTCCTGATGCCCGAGCATGAGCATAAAATTCAAAGGGCCCCACTATTTGTGGTAGGAAGTGTGACTGAGGAGTGGGTGGAGGGGAGTATGTGAAACCCTGGAGAGATCATACTTTCACTTTTTTTTTAAGTCAGTTTTTTTTTTTTTTTAAAGATTTATTTATTTGTTTGTTTGTTTATACAAGCACTGGGTATAGTCAGAAGCGAGGGAGGGTGAGAGAATTCACCAGAGCCAGAGCGGGGAGCAGAGCAGGCAGAAGGACCGAAGTACACTGCTGAGGGGAGCAGCGGGCGGCAGGAGAGGTCTGCGCGCCACGCGGGACCCTCGCCTGGTGGCCGGGGAGCAGCTGGGGATCGAACCAGCACTGCAGAGGCCGTGGGCAGCTTTGCAACCCAGCGCTCAACCGCTGCGCCACTGGGGAGGCCCTTACTCTGTTATTTTTCTGTATTAGCTAAGCAATTAGGCTGAAAGTGATGACATAGAAAGGGAAAGATAAAGGCAACCTAGAATTCCTCTTCCCTTCAGTCCTTCCCTAATAGGAAGCTAAAGGTAGAGAATGTTAGTAGAATATGTGCATATTAAGAAGTTGTATATGTTTTGTATATGAAAATGACAATGACCTAGTAAATGCATATACATGCATCACTGTGAAATAATAAATCTTTCATTTCATTTATTCTGCAGGAGTTAAATGTTCTATTTGCATTTAAAAAATAAGATGAACAGTGGCAGTAACTTAAAATTTAAATTTTCTTTTTTGGAATGACATGAAGTAGTCATAAAATAAAATGCACCACAGTAAGTTGAGAGACAAATCACAGGAGAAAAGAAAAAAAGTTTTATATTTTAGGATCTTTAGTGGCACTTTTCCCCTGTTTTCTGAGCAATATGCCCCACAAATTATGTAGCAGGCCCTGAGTGCCAGTACTCGGCCAGAGATCACGCGGCTTTCCTTCCATACTTCAAACCATGTGACTTGAACTAAATGGCTGTTCTCTAGGATGGATGTCTCCATTCTTAGCCTGCTTCCATCTTCTCAACACACACTCATAAATACACAAGCATGCACATAAAACACTCCAATGCGGGTAAATGGGCCTCAATAAAGTCTGACCTGATTCTTGCTCTGGTTCAGGGACCTCAGAGATTTCAGGCTCTTCAGGTAAAGGTCCCTTGGTCTCCTCAGCTACATCAGGGGTTTCAGCTGCTTCTTGAACTTCAGGTTCCTCACCTTCGATCTCCTCTTCGGCCTCAGGGTCATTCTCTTCTTCTTCCAAAAGAAATGAGAAGAAATAAATTGTCATTCTCTTCTCTTTGGGTCAACAAATATTTAATTAGTTATACCAGACAAGCTTTTTGGTGCTGAGGCCAAAACAAAGAAGAAGAAATGGGCCTCTTGGAGCATGGGGTTTAATGAGGGAGATAGATACATTATCTATTTTGTCTATTAAAATATAGATATAGTGGTAAAGTGATGTAGGACAGTGTCTGGACATTTTGCTGTAGGTGTCATTGCTTAGGTGAGAAACTGTACACCTGAAAACTATATATGGTTGTAAACTAACATTACCTCAATAGTAATAATGAAAATCTCTCTCAGGACCCAGATCCTGTAAAGCACAGGATGTCAGCTATGAAGGACTCTAGTCTCCAGGTGTTTTCTAAATAATCCCTGAAAAGCGCTGCTGACAAATTAAAGTGGAAAGTAAGGGAAGGTTCAAGCTTAAATTCAATTGAAGAGTTGGATGTAAATTGTTCCAAAGATAGATCCAGTGATATGTTCCATGATGACATGAGTTTTCCTCTTTGCTTTTACTCCCAGGGTTGAAAGTGCCCAGCGAAGGGGATATGACTGGTTCAGGTCATAGACACAAAAAGGATACTAAGTCTCTGACTTAAGTGTCCACAGACCTTCATGGCCTGGGGCATGACAGGGCATGCCCACAAAGATAGCAGGGAGGCCTTGCAAAGGAGAAAAAGACAGGTTGAAAGGCACTGGGGCTGTATCCCCACTGAAAAAAATCCCAGCAGCACTCTCTCAAGTACATCTACTTGCACAGTGGTGGTAGAGCCAGAAGCAAACCAGAGACCCACCTTGGGAATTGAATGAGAAATGAGATTGCCTGACAGGAAGAGGAGAGGCAAGATTAAAAGGTCTCCATATGTCTCAAGCACTATGGCCACAGGATGAATTATGAGTTACAATGCAGCAGGATAAATGTTTACTTTGTACCAATTAACAGTTTATAATATTTAAAAAAAAAGGTAAAGGATGAGGGTCATGTGCTCAGAGTACATGGGAGTACCAAACCAAGGGTTCATTCAAAGAGGAAATGTTTATAACAATTCCAAATAGTATAGCAATAAAAAACTGGAAAGAGCCCAAGTATCTATTCAATAAGGGAATGACCAGACCTGCATTGTCTGAAGTTCAGCACTAGCTAAAAGTGGCTGTTCAGTACTTGACATGTGGCTGGTACCTGCTGAGATACACTGGTAAGTATAAAATGTAGGGCCTCCTTGGTGTCACAAGCGGATAAGTCTCAGCACTATGAAGCTATCCGCAACCACTGTAGCATAAGTTCAATCGCTGGCCAGGGACAACCCACATGGCACAGCAGACCTCTCCTGTCTCACCTGCTGCTCCCCTCAGCAGCGTATTTCAGTCAGTCCACCTGTTCTGCTCCTCACTCTGTCTCTGGTGAATCCTCTCACCCCCACTCCTCTGGCCTATACCCCGTTCTTGTATGTACAAATAAATAAAAATAATGCATGTATGAAAAATTGGTATAAAATATGTCAATAATATTGGTATCAATTACATGTTAAAATAATCATTTGAATATCACTTATTAAGTAAAATATAGTCAATTTCACACATTTCTTTAAACTTTTCATGACTATTAGAAAAATTACATATGTGGCTTACATTATATTTCTGTCAAGCAGCACTAAGCAACTCAATATATAATACTAGATTTTTCTTGTAGCTAATCACAAATAATATCATATTGGTCAAATAATACCATGTTGGTTGATATGTTAAATGTAAATTTAAAAATAATGAATCAAAATTTTGTGTAGCTGCTAATGGCCACTATAAGAAATATATATGTAGAAGTCTTTCAGGAAGAAGATGGGATAAATGGTGGTGTCAGAAAACCCATCTCAAACTCTCTATATTCATGAAATTGACTAAAAACAAAGTGTTTTCTGTGCAAAGATCATATTAAAATTAATGAACTTATTTTTTAAATTTTTGTGAGAATTTCTTCCCTCCAGTGAGGATATTCCAAGAATCATATTCCTGTGGTGTGAAATAACTCTGGATGATTAATACAAATCTGGATGATTAAGCACCCAGAAAAAAGCATCCTGAAATGTCCTCTATTCTGAGGTCTAAGCAGGACTGCGTAGCATGTACCTTTCAAGTATGTGATCTGGAATGTGTGGGTGTTTTGTGTTTTATGGAGGATTTTATACTGACACAGCATTTGATGAATCCTATCAGAATTGGGATGAAGTTTTGAGCGCTATGCCAGAAACTCAAAATGTCCTTCAACTGAGTAAAAAACAAAAGAATAAGAAACAAAAAAAAATTGGTCATATACCTCTAATGTGTGTATATTTAGTTATTTAAAATTTGTTTTTTTATATATACTAGGTACATTATAAAGCATACATATGAAAAGAATTGATATAATGATGCAGAAATAAAAAAAAATACTCTTTTCTAGAACCTAATGGATAATCTGTGTATTACATAAGTCAGCAATGGACTGGAAGATGCTCTAAGATCCTTGTACTCTCTGTGATTTTGACTGAGCATATGTTGCTAGTAGTTATTGTGTCATAATAAATTACCTCAATATTTAGTGGTTGAAATAACAATAATCTCATATGATCTTTGCACATGTCAATCTGAAGTCTTGACTGGGGTAGAGGATTCACTTCCAAGTGACTTCCTTCTACTACTCAATGTCAGAACCAAGGTCTTTAGGGGCAGAGATAAACTCTGTCCAAAGACCTGATCCACAGAATTATGTGCACATAAAAATGGTGATGTTTTGTTCTTTTGGAGTGGCCTATTGCAGAGCTATGGAAACCTGAAACAACACTCTCTACTCTTTGAAGCCAAGGACTTCTCTGACAGTTTGGTAGAACTTATGGACCCTAGAGTAACACTTTCAAACTCATAAAATATATAAGAAATCGAGCATATTGAAATTGAAATGCTATTATCAAGATATCAAATCATTTTATGTTATAGGGGATGTGTGCATCTTTATTAATGCATTAAATAACAAGAACTATCATAATTTTGGAATAGCGAGAAGCATAAACAAGATACATAAAACTGTAATGTACTATAAACCTATCTTCATTTCTACTGATAACAAAGTCAAAGTACCGCTAATACTATTGTGGTTTGTTGCCTTGTTGAAGGAAACACTAAATTACAGTTAAAGGTTAGCTAAAATAAAGTTGATTATTTTTTCATTCAAGTTCACATACCCCTGAATTTTATTCATGGACCACAGGTTAAGAGCTCAAGCTTTATGTGAACCCATAACCCTAAATCATATACAGTGTTATAAACCAATGTCATCTCAACAAAGGAAAAAAAAAAAAAAAGAATGGGGAAGAAAAGGAACTCCAGTCTCCAGTTTCAGAAGAAACTTTTAGAATCAGTTCTATAATAGAGATGGAAGTTCACATGCAAAGACAATGGACAGCCACAGTGAGAGCTGGATTGTTCCCTCATTCTTGGAGGATCCTTCTAATACAAATAATTCCAAGAGCTGTGAGGCGGCAACCATTTTAAACTCATTGTACAAGGTGTCCTGCCATGTACCCCTTTCTTAGAGAGGGTGCAAGGAGATAGGGCATCAGGAGTCTTTTTCCTATGAATCCATTACCAAGGTAATTGTAGAATTTATTACCCAAATTGTAACACTTTGAGAATGAAAGGGGTCAGATACTTCAATGCCATAGGTAGAAACTTGGATTTTCACAGGCACATTGGGAAGAATGGTGACCCTGCCAATAATTCACTTGAAATACTGCCAGTGCTCCCAGAAACAACACAAAATTAAAATGACACATTATTTGTATCAATCCGTGTTTATTCACCTTTTGCCTTCTCGTTCATAGCATCTATTAGTCTTTGATTTTGTTCTTCTAGTCTCCGTGCCTCTTCTGCAGCTTTTCTGAAATAAAAAGGTCCAAAATTTAAATTATCTTTGGATATTCAGACATCTCACAATATTGTGTGATGTTAAGGTTTATTGTGGTAAAAAAACAGAGTAAGTTGTTCATAATATTTTTTACTTTACAATGTAAATGTCTAATTCACTCATGTTGAGACCAGTTAATTTCCAGGTTTTTTTTTTTTTTTTGATAAGAAAAGTTGGAATCTTGTATTTTGTAAAACTTTGCCTATTAATTAGGAAACCTGTCAAAATTAATAAAAGATTGGGCCTCCCCTGGTGGCGCAGGTGGTTGAGCACAGCGCTGTGAAGAGGTCTGCAGCCTCTGCAGCGCGAGTTCAATTCCCAACGGTCAGTGAGAATCCTACATGGAGCAGCAGACCTCTCCTGTTGCGCCCGCTGCTCCCCTCAACAGTGTGTTTCAGTCAGTCTGCCTGTTCCGTTCCCCACTCTGTCTCTGGTAAATCCTCTCACCCTCCCGCACATATGGCCTGTACCCCGGTTCTTGTATGCATGAATAAAAAAAAAACTTTAAAAAAAAATTAATAAAGGATTGTTATACACCAAGTTGAAAGATTAAAGGGAGACATTGTACCGTATCCCCTTCTGATTAAGTGAGAAATGCTTTTCATTTAACAGTATAATACTAAGTGAAAAGCGTATAAAACTATATGTAATACAATTTTAATTGTTTAGAAAGTATATAAATGATGACTAAAAGCAAACTAATCAATCTGCTAATAGTAATTACCTGAATGATAGCATTATAAGAGTTTAAAATTTTATTTAACAATTTTTTGCATTTAAAACAATTTTCTATATTGAATAATAGAACATTTGTGAATTTATCTTTGTAGATGGAAAATTTATTTTCTGATTTATTTTCTTTTTAGTACTGTAATAATAATATTTAAAGGAACTTTGAATACGGAGACTTAAAATATCTAGTTGGGATCTGTTTTTCATTAGAGTTGAAACACCAAACCTGCCTTAATGGTGAAAAAAGGTATAAGCACGCTATTAAAAATTAAAATGTTAAAATTGAAATATTAAAAAAAATTAAAATGCCTTCGACCTAGACATTCTATGTCGAGAAATTGATTCCTCAGGAATTGCTATATTATTGCATGTAGAAATACAAGAATGTTGATTGCATCTTATAAAATTAATACTAAAAATAATATTAAAAAACTGTATCAAGTATTCACCAAAAGGGGACTAATTAAGTAGACTCAGTAGCACACTTCTAACCCGTCCTGTTGACCTGTGTTTTCTGTGTCCTTTTCCTCTTCTTTTGATAATGTAGTTACATATATTCTCTTCAAAAGACAATACTACATCTCTTCTCCCAATGGGTGTTTCTTGCTAATAGGGGGTGCTTTCTCACTGTATTCCAAATCTTGCAATCCAGTCTGAAGTTTTGGTGGAACAAGGTTCTCTTTATTCAAGACCCAGACTTCTGAGATATTGATAGGGTGCAAATTCTATTTCGTTCAGGCAGAGTTCCTTTGTGAGGCTTTCCATATTCAAATCTGGATAAAGCATGCTGCTACTAGGAATCTGAGACTTAGCAAGAATGAGGAAGAATTTTGCTAGATAATGATTACTAGATAATTTTGATAAACCACTTGGATAGGTGAGTCAAAGACAAATGGGGGAAAGAGAGAAATGGCAATGACAGAAATTATTCTGCATTTGACTGGCACATTTGGAAACTGAGGCTGTAAAAACTGTAGAATTTATTATGTCTTTAGATTTTTAGCCCAAGATGTAATTCTTAATCCTGTTAAGTTGATCTCTATTCTAGCCAAGTTGGAAAGGTCTTTAAATGAGTATCTGTTATTTTTTGTTTTGTTTTTTTCTTTCTTTTTTTCTGTTTTAGATTCATTTTCTGCAGTATATGAAAAAAGTTTGTTTTGAAATACCCATGTCTTTAAATATGAGTTTTAAATATTTTAAAAAGCAACATGTAGAAATGTAGAAAAGTCTGCTTCAATCTGGGCAAGTCTTTGGCATAAAAAAGTTTACAAAGATTTTATATAAATCCAGAATTAAAAGAAGTAAAATTCATTATAATAAATTATAGAAATAGTTCAGAAGATTCCATATAGAAAAAGTAAGGTGAGTGATGAGAATTGGGAGAACGTAGAGGAGATCTTTTCCCTTTCTTAAGCAAATTAGAGATATACATGTAATTTTCCTACCTAAAATGTAGCAGACTATCAGCTTAGAAATCACATGGACTTTTGTTTTACTTTTATATTCATATTGATATTTTTAAATTATTTGAGTATTTCTCATACACTGGGGAAAAATTAGGTAAATGCTTAAATCCTAGCAGTAGTTTTATTTATAATGCGAATATACAGTAAGTATACTGAATACAGTGTAAATAAACATTATGTTCTGGGAGTGACAACTACCTGCTCTAGGAGACAAGAGAGCAAAGCCATCTCATATATCTGAAATAGCTATGTAAAATCTACTACTTGCATGTAGAGTCAGTCTTTTGAACCCCCTATACCAGTACCCAGTCTTTGCGGTCTCCACATTGCATTCTTTTTTTTTTAAGATTTATTTATTTATACAAGAACTGGGGTACAGGCCAGAGGTGTGGGAGGTGAGAGGATTCACCAGAGACAGAGTGGGGAACAGAACAGACAGACTGACGAAATGCACTGCTGAGGGGAGCAGCGGGCGAATCAGGGGAGGTCTGCTGTGCCATCCATGGTACATTCTTTAGAAAGGAAGAAATTTATCCCAATACTGCCTTCTTCGACACTTATATAATACCAACATCTTTAGGTCAAAACAATATGAAACCAGAGGCACCCCCTGTCAAGAATAATTACATTCTTAATGTCAATGACTCACTGTTCCTATCTATATAAACTACATTCAAATTTGTGATTTTTTGAAACAGTTCTCACAGTAAAATCTGTCAGATTCCTTCCAGAGTCTGAGTCCTCACTTTGATTAGCTAATAAATTGTTTGTCTAAAGAGAATTTTATTCCAGTTAACTGTAACAAAACTTTTCAAAGCTAAAAATAAATGTAATAAATTTATTCTCTAAGTTAATAATACTTTTTCGTCACTATATCATATAATATTATTTATTATAGTAAATATTCATTATATGTTATACTTAATATAAGTATAACATACTTTGGGAACATGTTAAGTTCCCAAAGTAATGGTTAACTTAGATGAATAATAAACACTGAGAAATAAAATTCTCTGGCACAGACCTATCAGTTATCCATCTATACCAACTTCACTACCCACTTTCCAGCTTTAAAATTTCTAGATCTCAAAGAACTCTCCAAAATCCCTGCTCAAATTGCTAATATCTGAAAAGGAAATAGCATTTGAGTAAACTTCAAGAGATACCAGCATCAATAGTAGGAAGTTTAATGGATTAGCATAAGAAATTTGTTTCTTAAATTTCTTGTTCTTTGTTACTTTGAGAAGCAGGAAACAAATTAAAATGTAAAGTATCTAAAGATGTGTTTCAGCAAGGAAGAACAATGAAAAAATAATACACCTTTTCTTTTTATACTTTTTCCCCAATCTGAAGAATTTGATAGTTTACTAATGAATAGATAGAAATGTATTCACATTTTTAAAAGTTCCTCACTGTACTCAAATTAGACAATGAGCTCTTAATGTTAAGTAGATGGAGGGTGAATGAGTGAAGCGTGTGCATATATGAAAGGGTAAAGTTGGACTCCCAAAATTATATAGTTATGTAAATGATTGGTAAATCAATAAAATTTGAAGGAAAAAACCTCGTCTTGTTCTTTCATTATATAGGACTGAGGTTTTAGATTTCAGTTCGATCACACATTTAGTATTTTGATTTTCTTTTTGTCATATTATTTAAGTTGTAAATACTAGTTAATGAAATTATTTATCAGATAAATATGGTAAAAAAAAAGTCTTACTTGTGCTTGTTGATTTTTTTAAAAAGTCGTTTAGAGTAAGTTTGATTTGGAGCCTTGAAAATATTTACAACCCTGTACTTCAGAAATTATGGGTTTTTTGATGAAATTACAGCTTTTCTTAGAATTAATTCACATTGGACCCAGTTAATAGAACACTACTTTGATATTAAAGACATTTCATAGATATAAATTGTAAGTAGATATTTAACAACCATAAAAGATACATTAACATGTTTTATTATGTCAGGAGATTTTACCTTGCTGCTTCTTCCTCTCTTTTTTTCTTTTGTAGCTCTTCAAGTAATCTTTCTAAAATACTGGAGTCAATTTCAGATTTATTCTTTAAATATATTCTATTTAACAAATATTTTCCTAAAATACAGAAAAAGAGAATAATACTAATTTTGAAGCCTGTAAAATATAGTGAAATATAATTTTTTGTCTATTTTCCAGTTTGCTTTTCCTTAAGCACTTATCTAAATATAGCCTTTATTCTTTACAGCATTGAGACTGTCTTAAATCCTTTTAAAAAGTATATATTATAGGGCCTCCCCGGTGACAAAGCAGGTTGAGCGCAGTGCTGTGAAGCTGTTCGCAGCCTCTGCAGCGCGAGTTCGATCCCGGCTGGCCAGGGAGCAACCCACATGGCGCAGCAGACCTCCCCTGTCTCACCCGCTGCTCCCCTCAGCAGTGTCTTCGGTCTGTCTGCCTGTTCTGCTCCCCGCTGTCTCTGGTGAATCCTCTCACCCTCCCACGCCTCTGGCCTGTACCCCAGTTCTTGTATAAATAAAAATAAATCTTTAAAAAAAATGTGGAAATGACCAAAAAAAATTAGAAAATTGCTAAAAAAAAGTATATATTATATAAATAACTAAAATATGGCATGATATAAAAAACTAAAACATGAAAAGTATATAGATTTCATTTTCATTTTCTGGAACCTATTTTCAAATATATTTCCTTAAGAGGTAAAATGGCAAAATATTCTTGGTCTTCTCATTGAAGATTAGTTAAGGTGGATTTATTTCTGGGTTCTCTATTCTGTTCCATTGGTCCAAGGGTCTATTTTTATGCCAGTGTCACATAATAGTATCATACTATGTTGATAACTATAGACTTAAAGTGATAGCATAATTAAAATTTAATTTTGTTCTCTTTATGTACCTACTATTTCTCATTTGAGGTGAAGACAGACTAATATATGTATAGTCTTTGTCCTCAGCCTTATTTGTGCATTTAGAAATTATAGAGCTGGTTAGGAGAAAGGTGTTAAATTCTCATCTCCCAAGAATGATTATAAGGGCCTGCTGGAATGTCCAGTGTTCTAGCGCATTAGCTTTGATCACCTATGTGGTGGCTGGAAGCTGTATTTTTGTGTGTCTCTAGGACACTAAGGAATTGCTGGGATGACATTTGTATCTAGGGAGGGTGGAGAGTTTTCCATTGCATATTTTAACTAAAAATATTATCTGCAACAATAACTTCATTTTCAAATTTACGTGACAAACATCTACCAACCATTGTTTTCTGCATTTGATAAAATGATTACTAAATCAGGTGTAATTCCTTTTTCATTTAAGGCTGTCCACAGTTCTTTAATAGCAGGGCAGTTGTCCAATATCCACCCTCCATAGATGGGGGCACCATCAAACCTATTCTTATTTTCTTCTGTTACCTGTGAAAAATGACACACTGGTATTACCACCACAGTTTGACAACTCAAGGATGTTACCACCACATTTTTGTGAACCTTAACCAATGATATTTTGAGTTCTTCTGACTGCACAGAGAAACTTAAAAAAGAGAAACTTAAAATAAAGCCATAAGTTTAAAAATTAACTGGGAAGCAAAATCCTTTATTAAATAAATGCAGCAATATAGTTTTGGTAGATGTTGTTCAGTATTACAGAGTTCAGAACCTGATTCAGAAGATCTAGCACAGGACCCCCAAATCTGCATTTTTATGCTCCCAGATGACGGTGGTCTATGAATAGCAAAGTCCAATTGCAGCTTGCCTTTTTTAGTGACATCAGCCTTCACTTCTCTTTTGCTCATCCTTCAGTGTAAGAGCCTAGAGGTGCTAAGACGGCTACTAATATAGTAACAGCTTCAATGCGCACATGGAAACTGGTAATGTGGATCTGAGTATACCAACTCAAAGGGTTTTAAACAGCTTTGAGTCTCCAGGTAATCACAGGATATCAGAAGTCAAAGAGGAAGCAATGTCAAGAGGGCCAAGTAAAACTGTCTGAACTATACAGAATTTAAGATTATTTGCTTTGTATATTTCTAGCTGAACAAAGTCTTTTGTACAAAATTGTTTTTTTAATTTTATTTTTTTAATTTTATTTTTTTATTTTTATATTCCCCATACAATTGCAACCCCCTGATTTTGACCCCAATCCCTTCTTTCCCCGCCCCACCCCCCCAAAGTGTGTCTCTGGTTCATAGTTGTTTGTTGACTTTGATTTTTTTCTTTCTTACAGTTACTCTCTTTCCTGGTCCCTTATTTAGGTTTTCTAGATTCCTGTTATGAGTGAGACCATCTGGTATTTTTCTTTTTCTTTCTAGCTTATTTTGCTGAGCATGATCCCTTCCAGCTCCAACCATGTTGCTGCAAATTGCATGTGTTTATCTTTTTTGAATGCTGAATAATAATCCATTGTATATATGTACCACATCTTCTTGATCCAGTCATCTATTTTTGGGCATTTGGGTTGTTTCCAAAGCTTAGCTATTGTAAATTGTGCTGCTATAAACATAGGGGTGCAGGTGCTCTTTGGAATTAATGTTTCTGTGTCCTTTGGGTAAATACCTAGCAGTGGAATTGCTGGATCATATGGAAGCTCTATCTTTAGTAGGTTGAGGAATCTCCACACAGCTTTCATAGTGGTTGGGCCAGTTTGCACTCCCACCAGCAGTGCAGGAGAGTTCCTTTCTCTCCACATCCTCGCCAACATTTGTTGTTGCTAGTTTTTTTAATATGTGCCATTCTCACTGGTGTAAGATGGTATCTCATTGTAGTTTTGATTTGCATTTCCCTGATTGCAAGTGACATTGAACATTTTTTCATATGCCTGGTGGCCATTTGTATTTACAAAATTGTTTTTAAACACTTTAAAATATATAACATAGGAAATTAAGGGGAAAAAGCTACTAAGAGGTAATATAAGCAAAATAAGTCAGACACAGAAAGACAAATATTAGCTCACGTCATTTATACATGGAATCTAAAAAAAACAAGCTAATTGAAACAGAGATCAGTTTGGTGGTTGACAGAGGCAGTGCCTACAAGGAGTGAAGGTATCAAAAGGTACAAAATTCCAGTTATAAGTTAAATAAATTCTGGGGATGCAATCTACAAGTTACTGCAATTAACAATACTGTATTGTATATTTAATAATTCTTCCTATGTGCACACACATACACACACTATTACTACGTGAGATGATCTTAACTAAACTTAGTATAACAGTCATTTTGTAATATACACATATATATCTAATCATTATGTTGTACACCTTAAATACAATGTCATGTGTCAAGTACATCTCAACACAACTGGAAAAAAATATAAATTTTCTTAACAAAAAATTTTACTGTCCAAATTTTAAAAAGATAAAATTAAAGCAACACTGCCTTAGATTGAAAAATCTTGTGTGTCCACCCATTTTCCCTATGACCAAAAATTCAAGGGTACTGCACAAAATTTTAGCTATGGAGCAAAATTTGTCTTGGCTTACAACTTACTAGCTCATAGATGAAATTAGCTAACTTTGGCACTGACTTCATATACATAATATTCTATTATAAACAACTGAACCAAAATAAAGACAATAAAAATAAATGAATAATTAATTTCCAAGCTATGAAATTATATTGCATAATTGTTGATAAATGAAAACTTACAAAAAACACAAGCAATTGTTCATTAGGGTACATTACACATAACAATGTGGATTATAAAATGCACATTAATGTATTTTTTATTTAAATATTTTATTTTATATAATTCTTACATCTTTTTTCATCTTTGCACAATGTATGCATTTTCGTTTTGGTTATATTCCCCATACAATTGCACCTCCCCACTTATTTTGACTCCAGTCCTTCCTTTCCCCACCCCCCCGCAATAGTGTGTCTCTGGTTTATAGTTGCTTGTTGATTTTGATTTTTACTTTGTATTGATTAGTCTTTTTGTTGGTCTCTTATTTAGGTTTTCTAAATTCCTGCTATGAGTGAGACCATCTGGTATTTTTCTTTTTCTTTCTAACTTATTTCACTGAGCATGATCCCTTCTAGCTCCATCCATGTTGCTGCAAACTGCATGTGTTTATCTTTTTTGATTGCTGAGTAATATTCCATTCTGTATATGTACCACATCTTCTTGATCCAGTCATCTATTTTTGGGCATTTGGGTTGTTTCCATAGCTTAGCTATTGTAAATAGTGCTGCTATAAACATAGGGGTGCAGGTGCCCTTTGGAATTAATGTTTCTGTGTCATTTGGGTAAATACCTAGGAGTGGAATTGCTGGATCATATGGAAGCTCTGTCTTCAGTAGGTCAAGAAATCTCCACACAGCTCTCCATAGTGGTTGGACCAGTTTGCACTCCCACCAGCAGTGCAGCAGAGTTCCTTTTTCTCTACAACCTTGCCAAGATTTGTTGTTGCTAGTTTTTTTAATATGTGCCATTCTCACTGGTGTGAGGTGGTATTCATTGTAGTTTTGATTTGCATTTCCCTGATTACAAGTGATGTTGAACATTTTTTCATATGCCTGTTGGCCATTTGCATTTCTTCTTCAGAGAAGTTTCTTTTTAGCTCTTCTGCCCATTTTTTGACTGGATTATTTTCTTTGTTTTTGTTAAGTCTCATCAGCTCTTTGTAGATTTTTGTGATCAGTCCATTATCGTTAGTGTTGTGTGCAAAAATTTTCTCCCAGTTGGTGGGGTTTCTCTTTGTTTTGGTTATTGTCTCTTTTGCTGTGCAGAAGCTCTTTAATTTGATGTAGTCCCAGCTGTTTATCTTTGCCTTCACTATCACTGCTTTGAGTGATGTGTCTGTAAAGATGTCTTTGAGGTGCATGTCATGTAGTGTTTCGCCTATATTTTTTTTTTTTTTTTTTTTTTTTTTATAGAGGCATGCTTTATTTATTTGTTTGCTGGTTTGTTTGTTTGTTTTGTTTATACATGCACTGGGTACAGTCAGAAGCGCGGGAGGGCGAGAGAATTCACCAGAGCCAGAGTGGGGATACACTGCTGATCTGCGCGCCATGTGGACCCTCCTCTGGTGGCCGGGGAGCAGCCGGGGATCGAACCGGCGCCGCAGAGGCCGCGCGCAGCTTCGCAACCCAGCGCTCAACCGCTGCACCACCAGGGAGGCCCCGCCTATATTTTCTTGTATGTATTTTATGGTTTCAGGTCTTATGTCTAGTTCTTTAATCCATTTTGAGCTGGTTCTTGTGCATGGTGTGCGGTAGTGGTCAAGCTTCATTCTTTTGCATGTAGCGACCCAGTTTTCCCAGCACCATTTATTGAACAAACTTTCTTTGCTCCAGTGCATATTCTTTGCTCCTTTGTCAAATATTAGTTGACCGTAAATCTGTGGGTTTATTTCTGGATTTTCTATTCAATTCCATTGGTCTGTGTGTCTGTTCTTGTTCAAATACCATGCAGTTTTGATGATTATGGCTTTGTGGTATAGTTTTAAGTCTGGGAGTGTGATGCCTCCATTCCCTTCTTTTTTTTTTCAGAAGAGCTTTGGCTATTCGGGGTTTTTGTTGATTACATATGAATTTCATCAATAATTGTTCTATTTCTTTTTTTTAAAGATTTATTTATTTCTTTATACAAGCACTGGGTACAGTCAGAAGCACAGGAGGGTGAGAGAATTCACCAGAGCCAGAGCAGAGAACAGAACAGGCAGACTGACAAGGTACACTGCTGAGGGGAGCAGCGGGCGGCAGGAGAGGTCTGCGCGCCATGTGGGACACTTGCCCAGTGGTGCTGCAGAGGCTGCAGGCAGCTTTGCAACCCAGCACTCAACTGCTGTGCCACTGGGGAGGCCCAATAATTGTTCTATTTTTTTGAAGAATGTCATAGAAATTTTTATTGGAATATCATTGAATTTGTATATTGCTTTTGGTAGGATGGCCATTTTGATGATGTTAATTCTCCAATCCATGAGCAGGGGATGTCTTTCCATTTCTTTGTGTCTTCTTCTATTTCTTTTAACAGTGTTTTATAGTTTTCTTTGTATAGGTCCCTTACCTCTTTTGTTAGATTTTTTCCCAAGTATTTGATTTTTTTTTGTTTCGATAATAAAAGGGATTTTTTTTTTATTTCTTCTTCTTCAGATTTACTGTTTGTGTAGAGGAAGGCTACTGATTTTTGCGTGTTGATTTTGTATCCTGCCACTTTACTAAACTGATTGATTAGTTGAATTAGTTTTTCTGTGGAGTTTTTGGAGTTCTCTATGTATATTATCATATCTGTAAATAGTGATAGTTTAACTTCTTCTTTTCCTATTTGGATTCCATGTATGTCTTTCTCTTTTCTTATTGCTCTGGCTAGGACTTCCAGTATTATATTGAAAAGCAGTGGTGAGAGTGGACATCCTTGTCTTTTTCCAGATCTTAATGGAAATGCTTTTAGCTTTTCGCCATTGAGAATGATACTGGTTGTTGGCTTGTCATATGGCCTTTATGATGCTGAGGTATGTTCCTTGTATCCCAAGAATTTCAAGGGCTTTTATCATGAATGGGTGTTGTACTTTGTCAAAAGCTTTCTCAGCATCTATTGATATTATCATATGGTTTTTATATTTCTTTTTGTTGATGTGTTGGATAACGTTGATTGATTTTTGGATGTTCAACCATCCTTGTGTCCCTGGAATGAATCCTACTGGGTCGTGGTGAATTATATTATGGATACATTGTTGGATTCTGATAGCTAAAATTTTATTGAGGATTTTTGCATCAGTGTTCATTAGAGAGATTGGCCTGTAGTTTCCTTTTTTTGTGTTGTCCTTGTTCAGTTTTGGTATTAGTGTAATGTTGGCTTCATAGAATGTGTTTGGTATTATCCCTTCCTTCTCAATTCTTTGGAAGAGTTTGTGAAGGACAGGCGCTAATTCGTCTCTGAATGTTTGGTAGAATTCATTTGTAAATCCATCAGGTCCTGGGCTTTTGTTTTTGGGGAGGTTTTTGATTACCATTTGAATTTTGCTGCATGTAATTGATCTGTTCAGGTGTTCTATTTCTTCTTTATCTAGATTTGGGTGATTGTAGAGTTGTAGAATTTGTCCATCTCTTCTAGATTGTTGAACTTTTTTCCATATAACTGTTCATAGTAGTCTCTGATTATTCTTTTGATTTCTGCTGTGTCCATTGTGATTTCTCCTCTTTCATTTGTGATCCTGTTTATTTGTGCTTTCAACCTTTTTTCCTTTGTGAGCCTGGCTAGGGGTTTGTCTATTTTATTTATTTTTTCGAAGAACAGCTTTTGGTTTCATTGATCTTTTGGATTGTTTTTTTAGTTTTGATTTCATTTATTTCTGCTTTGGTTTTATTATTTCTTTTCTTCTATTGGTTTTAGGGTTTTTTTTTTGTTGTTCTTTTTCTAGTTCTTTGAGCTTTGAGATTAGGTTGTTTCTTTGAGTTCTTTCTTGTTTCTTGATGTGAGCCTCTATTGCTATATATTTTCCTTTTATTACTGCTTTTGCTGCGTCCCATACACTTAGGAAATTGGTGTCCTCCTTGTCATTCAACTCGAAGAATTTTTTAATTTCTTCTTTGATCTCATTAGTCCAGTGGTCTTCCAGTAGTGTGGGTTTCAATCTCCATGAGGTAGGAGAGTTCCTTGCCTTCTTTTTATGGTTTATTTCTAGTTTGATACCTTCATGGTAAGAGAAGATGATTGTTATAATTTCGATCTTGGTATATCTGTTGATGTTTGTCTTGTGTCCTAGTATGTGACTGATCCTGGAGAATGATCCGTGTGCGTTTGAGAAAAATGTGTACTCAGATTTCTTTGGGTTTAGTGTTCTGTAGATGTCTGTTAAGCCCAAGCGCTCTAGATCCTTATTTACTGCTTTAGTGTCTTTACTTATTTTTTGTCTCGTTGATCTATCCATTGTTGATAGTGGTGTGTTGAAGTCTCCTACTACATATGTGTTTTCTCTGATGTCTATTTTCAAAGATGATGATAGTTGTCTGATATATTTTGGTGCTCCTTCATTTGGTGAGTATATGTTAATGAGTGTTATTTCTTCTTGAAGTATTGTCCCCTTGATCATAATGTAGTGACCATTGGGGTCTCTTTTTACCTTTTTGAGTTTGAAATCTGTTTTATCTGATATAAGTATTGCTGTTTCTGCTTTCTTTTTTGGTCCATTTGCCTGTAGGATTGTTTTCCATCCTTTAACTTTGAGTCTATTTTATCTTTTGTAGTTAAATGTGTTTCCTGGAGACAGCAAAAGGTTGGGTTTTGTTTCTTAATCCAGCCTGCAACTCTGTGTCTTTTTATTGAAGAGTTTAGTCCATTTACATTTAGAGTTAATATTGATATGTTAGCATCTGTATTTGCCATTGTGTTTGTCTTTCCTCTGGTTTTATATATTTATTCCTTTAATAACTTTTTTTTTATTTGGCCTTCTTTCATTGTTATTCATCCCTCTATTGGTTCTGGCTTTAAGACTGCTTGTAGTATTTTTTGGAGTGGGGGTTTAGTCATAATGAAATTCCAGAGTTTCTGTTTGTCTGGGAAGGTCCTTATTCTTTCTTCATAGAGGAAGGAGAGCTTTGCAGGATGGAGTATTCTTGGTTGGCATCTATTTTCTTGGAGTCTGTTGACTATGTCCCTCCACTCCCTCCTTGCCCGTAGCATTTCTTCGGAGAAGTCTGATGTCAGTCTGATTGGTTTTCCTTTGAATGTTATCTGTTTCTTCCCTCTTGTCAGCTTCATTATTTTTTTCCTTGTCTTGGATTTTTGGGAGCTTTACTATTATGTGTCTTGCTGTATTTTTCCTTTCGTCATGGAAGTTTGGTGTTCTTCTTGCTTCTTGTATGTCTATTTTCAGCTCCTTCATGTTTGGGAAGTTCTCTTCAATTATTTCCTTGAATATTTTCTCTGTTCCTATGTCTCTCTCCTCTCCTTCTGGGATAACTCTTATATTTCCTTTCTTCATGGAGTCAGATAGTTCCTGAAGTCTTTCTTCGGTCTTTTTCCTTCGTACTTCTCTTTCCTTTTCTGTTTTGGTTCTTTTTATTTCTGTGTCTTCAAGAGTACTTATTCGTTCTTCCATTTCATTTAATTTGCTTTTATTGCTTTTCCCAGAGCTCTTTAGAGCCTCCATTAATTCTTTGATATTCCTGCATTTCTTTTACTTCCCTCTTTAGGGACTCAATTTTATTCTTCTGATCATTATTTTTCCCTTATCATTGTTTTCCTTTATGACTTCTGTCAGTTTTTTAATCACGGCAATTTTAAATTCTCTTTCTAGAAGGCTCAGAAGTTCTTCCAAGTCACTGTCGTTGCCATCTGGTGGGTGGTTTTCTTTTTGTGGTGTGTCTTTCTCCTGAAGAGTTGCTAGGTTGCATGTAGTTTTTCTTCTCCCTGCTGCCTGTCTTCTAATTTGCCATATGTGTTGGGACACTGTGCTGCTGGTACTGGCCGGCATTTTTTGGTGTGCTCTTTGTGGGGTTTCGGAAACTGGTGGTCCAAACGAGTCAAATACTGTTATGCCAGAAGTCTAGTGAGGCAGTGGTACTTTGAGTATATTAATGGTCACTGTCACAAAATATTTCCTTCTTCTGTGTTTAACTACAAAGGTGTGCTTTGAAGTCCCACAAACTTCCCTGGAGGTGGGGCAGCTGGATTGCACTGTGGGTTCCAAAAAAAACTAGATCCCCCTCTGGGCTCCAACTTCCTGCCAGGTAGGACCAGGCTTATGGGGGACTTCAGCTCACCTCTGACTGCACAGGAACCTTCTCCCTCTGGCTCTGTAGGGAGCCTTCTGCCAGTTTCAAGCAGTCTTTATTGAAGAAAGGTCCCTGTTCTAAAAGGCGCGGAGACTCACTCCCCTGCACGCCCAGTCTGCCCGGCCGTGGGTGCCCGCTACCCCTCTGGGCTCAGACTGCTGGCCAGGGCATGGGCGAACTTCCCAGCTCAACTCTGGCTCCGCCGGGAGTCTTCTGCCGGGTTTCAAGCAGTCTTTATTGAAGAAAGGTCCCTGTTCTAAAATGGTGATGCGGGTACGTACTTCCCTGCACGCCTGGTCTCAAAATGTACATTAATTTAAAAACTGCAAATTTCAATACTGTTAAGGGAGGCTAATTATACATAGAATAGATTAACATTTTCTCAGTTAGTGTTGAATCAGTGATAAAAATCAACAGTCTGGGGTTCTTACTTCTTTGATTACTTCCGCTAAGATTTCAGCACATTTTTCATATGGTTGTTCAAAGTTCATATCCTTTGTCATTGCTATAGTCTCCTCTATCATGGAGCGGACCTCTGGATGATCTGCAGTTACCATTTCTATTGAGTCTAAAGTAAAATAAGTTATAAATTAATGACACTAATAATTATAGAGGACAATACTATTTGTAACAGAGCATAATTATTAATACCTGACCCAAGACAGTACTAACTTGGTGCTACAGCATCACATACTAAAAGAAGGGGAAAATAAATCAGGCGGAGATGTAAGTCAGGAATCACAAAATATCAGAGCATTAGCTTAAGGTCAGTGCATCAAAATGAAAATGAATGAAGCACAAAGAAAGTAATATAAGGCAGGACTCAAAATCCTGCAAGCCAAAGAGAAAAGGTAGGGGCCAAGAATTCCAGAGGTCAAGCTAAAACACTCATCTAGGGAATAAGTGAAATAAATAAGACAAACACTTCCAATTATAAGCATGAGACATGACAAAGTAAGAAGACAAGGAAGTAGAAAGACAAGGAATTGGAAAATGAATGGCATAGGCTGTTTCTCAAGTGTTACATTTGATTCTTGCCCTTATTGGGTGCTGAATGCATCCTTGCTTGGTTTTGTTGGCTCATGGGTTGTACCATGATGCAAATGTTCATCTGTTCTTCTGTTACAAAAGATTGGCAACTCCACCTGATGTCTCACTGTAACTTTATAGTTGTGCTTTCCAAGCTTCTGTCCCAAGGTTCCACCCATCAGAATCTCCTGCCAGAATCTAGCTGATCCCAGCTCTTCCTACCTCCGCCCCAAATTCCAAAGGGTCTTCAACGAGCCTACTATCTTCCCTCCTGTGAAATGAGATGTCTATTCTCAGGAATGGAGAGTGCCAGCAGTTCCCAGAGAGACAGCATGGAAGAGGCAAGAACACATACTGTTCCTGTAGCAGATACCCAGTTATCTTCACAAAGCAGACACCCAGGTATAGATATTAAATATGCTAGAAGAAGCAGTTATATTTGTCCACCCAATATCAATTCTTAGCAACAGAATCAATGTGTCCAGCTAAATTACTGCATCTTCTAACTTCCCTTATAGCTTAGATGGCTGCTAGATAAGATGCAAGCAAAATTTTGTGTGTATCAGTCTGTCTGTCACTTCTTTAAAGAGATATAACTGAGCCAGAGGAAGTGCCAGTTTTGCCCCTTTTCTGTCTTTCTTCCTACTAGACTCACTGATATGAAGACAGGAGTACTAGCAGCCATCTTATGAAGAGTTATGGCAGCCACAAGCCAGGGTCAGCAGAGCCAGAATAGATCTCCTATATTCCCAATATTATTATTTACTGAAACATGTATTACATGTTATTTTTTTTGTGTCCCTGCATGCCCAACTATCTATAAAAGAGTAGCCTCTAGGACAGGGTAAGTTAGGTATTAATAATGCTTTTTAAAAAATCACACATTTCTTCTTTTAGATTCTGAAGGAATTATTTGAAAATTTGAAATCCACTGTCTCAGAGAGCCAAATTACCAAAATACTAATTTACCTGTTTTTGGTTCAAATGTTAGATCTTGAGAACTTTCTTTATATGATATTGCAAGGATATGTTTTTTTAATCTGTGAATGAAACATTGTTAGCAACCTAAGAATAGTATTTAAAAAATTGTAGGTGATTCCCAAAGAAGACTGTGATATGAGCCTACAAAGCATTATTTGTAGCAGAAAAAAAAAATCTGAAAACTAACTTGTTTCCACATAAAGAATGTAGTTAAAAATATTACCTGTAAATAGGGAAACTGTCTAGTAATTTAAAATGAGGATTTAAGTATTTCCACATGAAATAGTTAAATGTTACATATACATAAGAGGTAAAAATAATTACATTGTATGTTCTCTATTATGTTAAAATAGTAATGAAAAAAATCATAGCACTAAATGATAACATTTCACAGCTAAAGCTCTGGGTATATGATGTTCTGGGAGAATTTCTTATTATATGATAATGATTATGTCACATTTAGAACATTCAAAAAACTTTGGACAGGGCTCTAATTACATTATATGTCCAGGTTTCTATATTTTCTTCATTCTAGTAACTCCATTCCTTTCTAAGTTGTTCAGTTTAAATATGTAAGAAAGAAGCTATATTTTTTTGTCCTGGTTTTCTTTTCTTGTTTTGATATTTTAAATTTCAATATAAACATGATAAATTATGAGATAAATGGAAATAAGACCCACAGTATGGCATTAGCAGTTCATTTTGTTAACATCTTTACCAGTTTTATCAGCTTGATTGTCATTTTCTAGTAGTGTTTTGCTTAATTCATTTTCCAAATTTTCTCTTTGGGAATCACGTGCCAATGCTGCAGCAAAAGAAAAACATGTTTTAACAGTTAATCTGTTTATATTAGGAAAGATCTGGTCAAAAACATCAGCAGTTTATTTTTTTACCATCTTCATAACGTGCAGAACCCAATTCCTCCAAGCTTTTATATGCATCAGATTGGAAGTCAAAATTATCTCTCTTTTCAAATTCTCTTGGAAATATTTCTGGAGTTGGCTGATCTGAAAGATAATATTTGGCTATGTTAAACAAAAGGTAGCTGGGATAGGGAAACTTGGATAGCAATTAAATTCTGTGCTTTAAAGTCAGATGGACGTAGGTGTTCTGATAGTCAGCATGGCTTTGGGAAATAATTTGATCTCCCTGTCTCAATTTCTACAGGGCAAAAGGAGGCTCATCAAAGCAAAAGCACTGCTGCAATGAAATAATGGATGTAAATACTAAACTTGGAAAATGCTTGGCACACAGGAAGATTGCTCCATGTTAAACTGCCATACTCTATATTATTATATAATTTTCTATGTTTAAAAGCCTCACTATTCTCCACAAATTTTTCTTAAAAATACATTTCACTAGGAGAAAAATTCATTTTTTTTAATTTAAGATTAAAATTGTCAGATTTAGTATAACTAGTGAATTTGAAAAAGAAAAGTCTTTTGAATTTTAAGATAGCATCTATTTCCATATTCTGATGTAAGACAACTTGTGAAAAGCTTGAAAATGTATAATTCATGCCATAATTTGACATGAAAAGAATCAGTACAGATGCCAAAAAAGTATTGTGACCACTGTTCCTCTAGGAGCCTTCAAGCTCTTTCTCGTCCCTTCTTCAGAGAGATTTCCCCTGGTCATGGTCACACTCTAGGACCCCTGCCCCATCGCTGCCTGTCCCATTTCTGAACTATATGTTTTTTCAATCTGTTCACTTGGCTTTTTGCTGCTTTCCTTTCCATAAAAATGAACCACTACTAGGAGAGGAGTTTCATGTGTCTTGTTCACCCCTGTAGCCCAGTGCCTAGAATCATGTCCAACACAAAATACATACTCAAGTATTTGTTGAATGAGTTAATGAATTCATTTTGCTCAGTTTTAAATAATTTGCCAAACAAGTCATTTTAATAGTCTGGGCCAGTATTTCTCAAGCTTTTGTTTGTAAATTGTATGAGTATTTTTAAAATCTTGATTTTCATTTTGAAGTTACTATACTATAAATATAAATTCATCCTGGATTATCTCGAGGATCATTTGGAAAGCATGCGATTTCAGTACTGGTCTTTTTTGCTGTTTTTTGTAATCCCTCAGGCACTATGTTAGACTCTTACTTATTTATAGACTAATGAGAAAGAATGATTTATTAGCTAAATAATGTATTCTTGCTTAGCAAAAGCTCAGTGCTGCCACATATGAAGAGCTCATTTCCTTGCTATCTAAATTGCACAGAAAATAATGGAAAGCTCTATTTGTGTAAAAAGTTAGTAAAACCGTCAGAGAAAGATCTGACAAATAATAGCGAGCACGTGTGCACACACATGGCCCAAATAAACTATAATTTAATCACACTTACAAGTGTTGAAAAAACTCCTAGTTTATCTAGGTGTTATCTCGTTTGACCAAAAGAAAAAGTATGTTATCAGAATAATACACCACAACTGAGTTAAGGTTTATGCTAGAACTGTAAGAATGGTGTAATGCTGGAAAATACATTAGCATAATGGATCAAATCAATAAGTCAAAAGATTAAAAATTTAAGATAATTTTGAGAGATGCTGAAAAGGCATTTGATAATGTTCAATATCCATTCAAAACAAGAATACTTCATAACCTTATAGGGAAATACTGGCAAGAATCCATGCAAAGAGGTCCACTATTACTGCCACTACTTAACATTATTCTAGAGCTGCCAGCTTATATAATAAGTCAAGAAAGGAAATAAGCTTAAGTAATGGGAAAAGAGGAGCAGAAAAGCAGAAAGTGTACTTTTTTTTCCCAAATATTAGTTATCTGTACAACTCAGGAAATTCAACTAAAAATCTATCAAGTAGATAGTAAATTTAATGACTTGGAACTTAGAAACATATAAAAAGCAAAGAACTTTCTAGCATATTAGTAGTAATTACTTAGAAAATATTATTATAACAGATGATGCCATTCAATAGTAACAAAATGACAAAATATCCAGGGATAAACTTATTAAGAAAAATGTAGAAAACACATGAAGAAGGTCTTAAAAGTTAAGGAAGATCAAAAGATTTAATCTATCTGCATGAGATTTAATAGTAAAGATGCAAATTCTCATCAAATTAATGTATAATATTAATATAACCCCCCCCCCCGGAGGGTTCACAAAATTCTATAACATCCCAAAACGCAGCGCAGCCCCTGACACACAGTAATTACTTATTTTGTGGAATGAGAATTCATTTTATGGAATTACTTTCAGGAATCATTTTAAACCAAAATGTTTTGAGGAGGAATTTTCATTACTAATTAAAAAGCATCATCATGAGATTTAATAATTTCACTTTGTATTAAAGGCCATAATAGAAAAATCAATAAACTAGAAAGTTCAGAAGTTTGCAAACGTGAATTTACTAAGATAAAGTGGCATTTCAAACCTCCAGTGAAATTACAGATTATTTAGCAAATGTTACATTTACAATTAGCTACTCATCTAAAAAGTGAATTTAGATACCCATCTAATACAGAATTTATTACAAAAATAACAAATTTATTAGCAATAAGCATATTTTTAAAATGTGTGAATGCAATTTTGCATCGGTTCATATTTAGTCATAAAAATGAACAGAGAAAATGAGGTGGTAACTTATGCATCAAATTTAACAGGTGATATATCTGGGGAGTAAGTCTGAGTGATTCTTCTGTCTGCTTTTTCCAGTTTTTGGTGGTCATTTGAAAGACATACAGGATAAGAACACCTGTATCAATCTGGATCACAATCACTTGCGGGTTGCTAATTGTGAGCAAGTTACATAGCCCCTGTGAAACTTGGTCTCTTCATTCACTAAAATGGGAAACATAAATACCTACCTCATAGGATTGTTATGAGCATTAAATTGGGTAATACATAAAATGCATTTAACATAGCCCCAACATATAGTAAGTGCCCATTAAATATTTATTATTACTTTTGAATGAGGAAAACAGTATTTGGAAATGATGCAGCAATGGCTATATGAGGAAACAGTGCACTGCCATTAATGTCTGGGCAATTCAAACAATGGCGGTTGAGTCTAGTATAAAATTCCTAGAACTGATTCCTAATTTTGGATCAGGATCCAAAGTGAGAAGTGAGAAAGATGCCAAGTTGTGTCACACATGAAGTGTTGAATTGAGGGTATTCCATTCAGTGGAGAGGTTTAGATTAAGCTACTTTCAAGTGTTCTAATGTGACTGGTTACAAGTGTGTCAACAGCAGATGTAAAGTTTATCAAATCCAATCAATGAATTTCAAAAGTATGACCATGAAATAAGAACTCTCATTTTTCTTGGAGTGAGAAAAACAGGAGAAACATATCCCCACCCAAACCCTGTGACTATTCTAAATGTAAAGCATCTAAATCTGGAAGGTCTTTCAGATTCTTTCTCCACAGGAATCGTTGTTCTGTTTATGAACCAAATTTATGTATATTATTTCTTCATTTATGAAACTTCTTGGCTACAAGGTGCCAGGATATTGAAGTGCCAGGGATATCAAGATGAGCGAGCCAAGTCCTTGCCTTCAGGTAGCCAGGCTAAAGTGCACATGATAAAAAGATGGTTTACCTAGTTTTTTAGCTTGTAGTTCTACGGCAAGTCGTTCTTTCACAACTTTAATAGCTTCTTCAGTGGCTGCAGCTATGGTCTCTTTTATTAACATTTCAAGGGCATTATCAAAACGTGGTTGAACAAGTTTAGTGTAATCAATTACCTGCAAAGAATATATAAGAAAACCTCCATAAGCGTAAGTTACTGTGGATATTAAACAGATTGTTTATCTGTATCACAAAATTCATAATGATGCTGGGGTATGTTCTACTTAGAAGTCACTGATTTTTGAGTACTTGCTTCATAGACATTCAGTCACATTTTTCACCTAGGAGTATATAATTATATATATATATATGTGTGTGTGTGTGTGTGTGTGTGTGTATCATGTTAATTCAAGTTACATATTTTAAAAATCAACTTTGTTTAATCTATATAAAATAAAAGGTACCTATTTTAAACATATTGGCTAATGAGTTTTTACAAATGTATTCATATAACAACAGTCACAATCAAGATATAGAAAATTCATATCACTCTAAAATGTTCCCTCATACTCCTGTATAATCAATTCCTGGCTCCTGGCAGCCACTTTCTAGTTTGCTTCATTATAGATTTTTCCTTTTCTACATATAAATAGAACCATAAAGTATATACATTTTTCCAGGCCTTTTTTGCCTTAGTATAAAGTTTTTGAGATTCATAAGTACAATTATATATGCCACTAATTTGTTCCATTTATTGTCAAGTAATATTTCACTATATAACCATATCACAGTTTCTATATTCATTCATCTAGTGATGGACATCTGGGTTGTTTGCAGTTTTAAGTTATTACAAATAAAGTAGGAATAAACATTTATGAAGAAGTCTTTCTGTGGACATATGTTTTCACTTCTCTTGAATCAATTCTTAGGACTGGCATTACTGGGGCACATGGTTAAGTATATATTTGACTTAACAATAAGCCATTAAACTGTTTCCAAAGTTATTGAATTATTTTACATTTTTACCATGCAAATTTTATACAAATGAAAGTTGCAGTTACTCCACATCCTCACCAACACTTGGCTTAGAAAATCTTTTAAATTTTATCCATTCATGAGGGTGTGAAGAAGAATCTAAGTATACTTTAAATTTAGTTTACTAATCACTAATAATTTCAAGCTTCTTTTTATGTGCATATTGGTCATTCACATACTTTCTATTTTTAAGTACATTTTCAATTTTTGAATATTTGAATAATTAGGTTAGAATTACATACACACACACACATATATATATATATATATATTCTGAATATAAGTGCTTTGTCAAGGAGATAACATACTTCCTGCTGATTGTTGGGATGTTAGAGATAGATTTCTGTATGTCTTTTAAGTTTAAAAAAATATGTGTTTCTAGATTCCATTTTGCTTGTTTTCAGTATGATCATATTACTTTATTCCATGCCAATACATCTAATGCCATTTTTAATGGATGCACAATATTGTATTAGCCATTTAATTAAAATTACAATAATACATATATTGAGATATATATACCTTTGCTATTGTAAACTATAGATTATGGTAAACACAGATATGTATATTATACATATCTATAAATCTTGTCTGAAAGTTTATTTATTGAAGTTACGTTGGTTTACAACACTGTATAGGATTCAGTGTCTGATAAGTGTCTTTATGAAAAACTCATAAAGCAGATTTGACAGTTTGAAGGAGTTGCATGGATTTTATGCTCTTGTACACATTTCCAATTGCCAACTCTAATTATTATACCCTTAACAGCAGTGTATGAGATTGTACTAGCAATAATGGGCGTTAATGGTAACCTTTCAACTCTTCTAAGGAGATTGACATGACTTTTTTTTTTAATTGGCATTTCTCTGGGAGGTGATATCCATTTTCTCATACTTAATGGTTATTTGTATTTATTAATTTGTGAATTGCATGTTTGCTATCATCCCCCCTCCCCAATCAGCGCTTTATCTGCATATTGATTTGTAAGCATTCATTATGTCTTAAAATTGTAATTTCTTTGTCTGACACATACTGTGATGGTTTTAAAACATGTCTGCAATCCTTTAATATGCATCCCTTTAGAAGCTGGAGCCTAATTCCTCTCCTCTTGTGTGTAGCCAGAACTTAGTGACTTGCTTTAAATGAATAGAGTATGGTATGTTCATTAAAAATGTTGAATGGCAAACCATTTGTTGGAAAATATTCATAGTGCTTATAATAAAAAGGAAATTGCATATAGATAATATAAGAAACTCCTGCAAATAATATGCAAAAGGATTATTTAAATGCCAAGAGACTCAAACAGGCACTTCTAAAAGAGAATATCTGCATGATCAATTAATATGAGAAAATGTTCAACATCTTTAGTCATCAGGTAAATGTGAATTAAAACCTCAGTGAGATATACCCAAAAGAATGACTATAATTAGAACAACTGAGCATACAAAAATTGGCAGGAATTTGGAGTAATATACACTACTGATAGGATAGGAAGTTGGTGGAACTAGTTTAGAAAACAGTTTGACATTATCTACACAAGTTGAATGTATCCTAGATATAGCTCTAAAATATAGAAAGATATGTATGTGCATACCAAAAGACATATATAGAATGTTTATGGCAAAATAATTCATAAAACCCTGTATCTGGCATCAACCCATTTCATTAACACTGAAATAATAAATTATAATGCACAGTGCTGCTTAACAATAGATTGTATATCTAATGGTGGTCCTTGCAGGCTGTACCATCTAGCCATTTGTGTAGTAGTTGGCTATACCATTCAAGGTTGTGTAATTACACCCCATGACATTCACACAATGGCAAAATCACCAAATGCATTTCTCAGAGCATATTCCATTGCTAAGCAACCCTTGATTGTTGTTCAATCAACAGAATAAAACAATAAAACTGAATAAATTATAGTTATATGCATGGATATATCTTGGATAAATATCACAATCATAATGTTAAGTAAAAGGAACCAGGCATAAAGAAAATATTTTAAGGCCATAAAGCTAAAAATGTATGTCAAATGAACCTAAGGTATTTGGATGTATGCTAACATGGTAAAACCATAAAAGAAAAGTACAGAAGTGAAAACCATGAAGTCCAGGAGAGTGGTAACATTTGTAGGAGTAGGGAAGGACTGGTATTGGAAAGAGCCATAAGGGAGCTTCTGGGGTGCTGGCACATTTTATGTTTTACCTGGGTAGCAGTTATATAGGGGTTGGGTTTATGATAATTTGGTGAGCTTTATTTTTGTCATATTTTATAGCAAAAAAGCAAATAGAAAATGTTACCCTGTTGTGCAAAAGAATTCATTAGCATTTAAAGTAAGTTCAAATTCCTTCCCAGGGTATGCATTGTTCTGACCATGTCTTCATCCATCTTCATCTTGTACCATTTTTTATTCCACACAGTGCTCTAGCCACACTGGTCTTCATGTAAATCCTCTACCTTTCAATCCCTTGTAAAATCTTTTGACTCTGTCTTCAAATTATATTCCATTCTCCCTGCCTCTTACCACCTCTACTGCTATCACTCTGTTCTAAGTTAAAAATAATTTCTCTCCATTTATTGAAGGTGGAGACTAAGATGACTGGGGGTTGGGGAGTCATGGAATTAACAGACCAGGGTATGTATTGGGAGAATCATCTTTGTAGAGACTGGTATCACCATGAATGATGACAGGAATGAGTATGTGGAGAGAGCATCAGTGAGCCAGGAGGAGAGACCAGTGGAACTGAGAAAGCTAATGGTGCATCGTCTGCCTGCTCTGACAGTCAAGTGTGGGGCTTCTGGGAAGCAGGCAGGGGCTGTGGTCTGGAAGCCATGATAAACAGCAAAGAGGATGCCTTTCCCACTCTGAGCCCTGTGGAACCATTGTTCAATTTCAGTGTAAAATTAAGAAAACTGAGTACAAATCCTACAGATTCTAAACTTCTACAAATTATAATCAAACACAGAGGTAAAAAGTTAGCTAGTTACCTAGATAGTTACCTTTCCTTTGTAATGTTCTGCAAGCAGATTGCTAAGTGTTGTTTTCCCTGAAGACTGAGGTCCATATATGAATATTTTACATGGTGGCATTGGCATAGGTGGAAGAAGATAGGGGCGTGGATTCAACAAAAATGATTTTAATGCTGCTTCTGATGAAGGACAGTATATTTTACCTAGAAAACTTAAAATACATCATAATCATAAACAGCTAAGTGAGGTATAACAACATTTTAAAATTAAGTTCTGAAAGTTTTAACTTACCTCACAGAAAACTCTGCCGATCCTGGATAAATATTACCTTCTTTTAAAGACACAGGACAGGTACGTCCCCATCTGCTTCTTTTCCATCTATATCTTGGTGCAATAAGTTTATAAGATGCAAGAGAACGGAACAACTCTTCCTGTTAATAGCAAATATTATATTAAAAATGTGAGTATAGGGTCTCCCCTGGTAGCGCAGTGGTTGAGCTCTGGGCTGCGAGGCTGCCCCCAGCCTCTGTTGTGTGGTTCGTTCCCCAGCCAGCCACGGTGAGGGTCACACACACACACACACAAAAAAAAAAAAAAAAAAAAGAAAGAAAAATGTGAGTATAGGTTTTGCTAAAATTAATAGTAGTAAGAATTTCATTTGTTACTTGATTTACTATTTAAGAAATAATGTAAAAGGCCAACTTTGGGCTTTTTTTCTTAATCACAACCATTCTGTACATGCCCAAAATTTAGTGAGAAAGTACTTTTCATTTCTGTTAAAAAATCTGTTCAAGACACACAGACTAATGGAATCGAACAGAAAATCCAGAAACAAGCCCACAGATTTATGGTCAACTAATATTTGACAAAGGAGCAAAGAATATGCACTGGAGCAAAGAAAGTTTGTTCAATAAATGGTGCTGAGAAAACTGGGCCGCTACATGCAAAAGAATGAAGCTTGACCACTACCTCACACCATACACAAAAATCAACTCAAAATGCATTAAGGAACTAGACATAAGACCTGAAACCATAAAATACATAGAAGGAAATATAGGCGAAACACTACATGACATGCACCTCAAAGACATCTTTAGACACATCACCCAAAGCAGTGATAGTGAAGGCAAAGATAAACAGCTGGGACTACATCAAATTAAAGAGCTTCTGCACAGAAAAAGAGGCAATAATCAAAACAAAGACAAACCCCACCAACTGGGAGAAAATTTTTGCACACAACACTAACGATAATGGACTGATCACAAAAATCTACAAAGAGCTGATGAGACTCAACAAAAACAAAGAAAATAATCCAGTCAAAAAATGGGCAGAAGAGCTAAAAGAAACTTCTCTGAAGAAGAAATGCAAATGGCCAACAAGCATATGAAAAAATGTTCAACATCACTTGTAATCAGGGAAATGCAAATCAAAACTACCATGAGATACCATCTCACACCAGTGAGAATGGCACATATTAAAAAAACTAGCAACAACAAATGTTGGCGAGGGTGTGGAGAAAAAGGAACTCTCCTGCACTGCTGGTGGGAGTGCAAACTGGTCCAACCACTATGGAGAGCTGTGTGGAGATTTCTTGACCTACTGAAGACAGAGCTTCCATATGATCCAGCAATTCCACTCCTAGGTATTTACCCAACTGACACAGAAACAGTAATTCCAAGGAACACCTGCACCCCTATGTTTATAGCAGCACTATTTACAATAGCTAAGCTTTGGAAACAGCCCAAATGCCCAAAAATAGATGACTGGATGAAGAAGATGTGGTACATATACACCATGGAATATTACTCAGCAATCAAAAAAGATAAACACATGCAGTTTGCAGCAACATGGATGGAGCTAGAAGGGATCATGTGCTGAGAAATAAGTCAGAAAGAAAAAGAAAAATACCAGATGGTCTCACTCATAGCAGGAATTCAGAAAACAAAATAAGAGACCAGGAAAAAGACTAATCAATACAAAGTAAAAATCAAAATCAACAAGCAACTATAAACCAGAGACACACTATGGGGGGGGGGCAAAGAAAGGGCGGGGAAAGGAAGGACTAGAGTCATAATAAGGGGGGGGAGGGTGCAATTATGGGGAATATAACCAAAATGAAAATGCATACATTGTGCAAAGATGAAAAAAGATATAAGAATTATATAAAATAAAATATTAAAAAAAATCTGTTCAAATTTTACTTAGCATTTTCTACTATAAGGTAAAATGAGCAAAGGTAGATAGAACAGTTTCTAGTATCTGGTTCAGAAAACAGATTTTGAAAAATTCTTTTTTTTTTTAAGATTTATTTTATTTATACAAGAGCCGGGGTCCAGGCCAGATGTGCGGGAAGGTGAGAGGATTCACCAGAGACAGAGCGGGGAACAGAACAGGCAGACTGACAAAACACACTGCTGAGGGGAGCAGCGGGCAAGACAGGAGAGGTCTGCCGCACCATGTGGGTTGCTCCACGTCCAGCGGGGATTAAACTGGCGCTGCAGAGGCTGTGGACAGCTTCACAGTGCTGCACTCAACTGGCTATGCCACCAGGGAGGCCCAATTTTGAAAAATTCTTACTAAAAAGGTTTGAAGATGTATTAAATTCAACTTAGACTATAAAGTCTCTCTCAGCAATCCTTACTTGGTGACCTTCAGAGAAGTTAAGAACCACCTCTCTACAGAGCATAAATTGCTGAAAGGTCGACTGTGCTTGTGCTACCTTAGTAAGGGACGGAAGAACTGGTGAGAGATAGCATGGGACAACTGCAAGAGGGGAGGGTCCAGCTGGCTCCCCCCACTTGCAGATGGGGCTCTCACATGCATCTGCTGGCTCCAGAGTGACTATGGAGGACAGAAGTGAGTGGCAGCCAAGGTACTGCCTGGCCCAGAGGGAAAGAAGGCACATGTGGCAGGACTGCTGCTAGGATGCCCTCTCCTGCAGCCTGGTAGCATTAAGGAAACTGTCAGTGCTTAGGGGAGCTGCACAAGACTTTGAACCTCACGGCAAGCCATGTTGGGCTATCACCCAGCTCCCTGGTGTCCTCAGACAGGGAACTATGGACTGAATTGTACCCAGTTAAGTCAGAGGTGGTCACTCTTTCCTTGTCATCCTTATTTCCTGTACACACTTGGGAACATTGTTTGAGTAGCAGACTATGAGTGCCTTGTCAAAGGAGAAGTGATTGACTAGCAAAGCATGTTTCCCTCTCAACTTTGAACCCCTGGAGCCACATCTCTAGGAAGTGCTGTGGGGAGCTGAAAAAAGTTTTCAAATGAGCTTGATATTATAGTTTTTAAAATGATATGACTGCCTCTGGTTAAGCAGGACAGACTGAACATGTGCATTAGTGTTTGCTGCTTTCCTAAAACCTCACGAAAATGACAAAAAAAAAAAAAAGGGAATAAATTAAGGAAGGCACAGAGATGGGAAAAGACAAGCCATGGTTTCACGTTTTCATAAACTAGAAAGTAGATGCAACACCGATAATTGACTTGAAACAGAGAATGGTAAAAGCCCAGTGTCTGTGGTGGCAGGGACAGGTATGGGATGGGGTGAATGTAACAGGAAGCAAACTGAGTCACTCTGCAAAATCCTAGAGAGGCTTAGGACCGTAGATAACAGGTACCTCTGGAGGTAGGTAAATGGAAAACAGATGACAGGAAGAATGCTAGAAAATCTTTAAAAGGACATGCCACTCCTCATTTCACTTAGCCAACAACATTTTCCCTCAGTCCCACCACAAACCTCTCCTTCAATTAGGAGACTGGAGGCTTAGGCTTAGACTGCTGCAAGGATGGAGCCAGAGCATTTTGTGAGAAGGAACCAGATGCAGCCAAGGCAAGGGGGAGGACATGAAAGCAGGTAGCTATGTATTCTGTTCCATTGATCTGTTTGTCTATGTTTATTCCAACACCATGCTGTTTGATTACTATTAGTTTACAGTAAAATTTGAAGTCCAAGAATATAATGCGTCTACTCTTCTTTTTTCTCAGAATCACCTTGGCTATTCTGGCTCTTCTGTGGCTTTTCTTAAAGACAGTTATTAAATTCACAGGGATTTCATTGAATTTGTGTATTGCATTTGGGTAAGGTCACCATTTTAATAATGTTAATTCTTCCAATCCATGAGCAGGGACTTTCTTTCCATTTCTTTTTGTCTTCTTTATATATTCTGGATATTAATCCCTTATCAGATATATGATTTACAAATATTCTTTTCCAACTGTCTTTTCCTTTTGCAGATAGTGTCCTCAGAATATACATAAGGTTTTCATTTTTGTGAAGTCCAGTTTATCAATTTCTTTGATGCCTGAGCCTTTGATATTCCATTTGTTTATTTTTAATTAATGCCAGAGTCCTAACCCCAAAATTCTGTTTTTTTTTTTTAATAGATATTTTACATCATTCTTCCTTTTTGTACAGTATATGCTTCTCCTCTCTGGTGTAGTCCCCGTAAAATTCCCACCACCAATTCACCTGTGCACATAGTCCCTTGTGCTCTTCCCTTCCCTGTTTTGATCCCTCTCCCTCCCCTGCAGAGTATCTCTGATTTATAGTTGCCTGTTAATTTTGTTTTTTAATTTATTATAACTTTCTTTTTCCTGATCCCTTATTTGGTTCTCCTACATTCCTCCTATAAGTGAAACCATGCAATATTTTTCTTTTTCTGCTGGCTTACTTCACTGAGTATAATCCCTTCCAGCTCCATCCATGTTGCTGCGAATGGCATGAGTTTGGTTTGATTGCTGCTTAATATTCCACATCTTCTTGATGCAGTCATCTATTTTTGAGCATTTGGGTTGTTTCCATAGCTTACCTATTGTAAATAGTGCTGCAATAAACATAGGGTGCAGGTGTCCTTTTGAATTAATGTTTTTGTGTCCTTTGGGTAGATACCTAGGAGTAGAATTGCTGGATCATATGGGAAGCTCCATTTTTAATAGTCTGAGGAACCTCCACACAGCTTTAGACTTGTGGCAGGCTTTGGGGTCTTGCTCTGGGCCAATCCCATTTGGATGGACTTTTACCCACGAGGGGACTTTGGGTGCTTGATTTAGAAACCATATTCTTTGTCTTTTCTGTATTGTTCACTAATTGTATTAAAGTTCCTTCCCACTAAAGTCTCATTTGTTTTGTGTTGATGTGGCGGATGGCAGAACCTATTTAGAGCAAGCAGGTTTGCGGGGTCTGGGGTGCCCCTCTCCCTGCCCTGTAACAGTTGGGCTAGTTTACATTCCTACCAAAAATTCTGTTTTAACTGATCTGGGCATTGCTATTTAAAAGGCTTACCAGATGACCCTAGGCCTGGGAGTCACTGCTTTAAATATTTCCATTATAATGATTCTCTAAAACTCAACAGCCTTTAGCTAAGAAGTCTATCTAAAGTCCTTCAAAACACATAGGCACTTCAAGATTAAAAAACCTTGATTA